TTTCTCATTTTATTTTAAAGCTAAAATAAAATTATTAAGCAAACTAGTAATAAATCAACAAGTGTCAAGCATACATGAGAGAGTAGGTGAGGACCACTTGGAGATGGGGACCAAACTTGCTCCCCACTCTTTCCCTCACGTTGTGCCACATGGCAACCCACTTGCTCCCAACCTTCCCCTTATACACGGCCCTATGGCCCGAGCCAAGCCACGAGCCAAGCCCGAGCCCGGCCCGCACCTGGCCCGCAGCCAGCCCGCACCAACTGCTGCTGTGGCGCAGCTGTAGCATGGTGCGGCTGCGGCTGCTGCCATGGTGCGGCTGCAGCTGCAACCATGGTGCGGCGCGGCTGCGGCTGCTGCCGTGGTGCGGCGCGGCTGCTGTTGTGCCTAGCCGCGGTTGGCCGTGGCTGCAACACGGTGCGCCGGCTCGTCTTGCCCCTAGCATTCGGATGCTCGGGGCACTCCGATGCTAGGGTATTTTCGGAAATATTGTTGATTTATTATTATTTTGCGTGTCTCGTCTTTTATTATTTAGACTCGACTTCCGACGATCGGTTTCGACGCTCTAAGCTCGAATTACCGACGTCTAATTATTTAACACTCGGGCGACGAATTAATTTCTTCCGAATTAATTCGTCGAGTTGGTTCGCATATATTTGCTTGGGTGTGACCCGAAGGGTTCAATCAAGATTAAGTTGTAATATTAATTATATTAATATTACTGATCGGAAGCGGCCTCCACCCAGGCATTCCGATCACTTGACCTTACTGAATATATTAGCTTTCTAATAATTCTGAACCCGCTATCAGAATAATACACTTGTTCAAAGGACACTATTCCTTTCAGGTCATTCTCGGTTTCAAGTCGATTTCGGTTCAAGTCAATAATTTGCGGATTATAATCAGATTGGGTCATTTTCAAGTCGGGTCATTCTCGGATTCAAGTCGGGTAATGTTCAAGTCTATAATTTGCAGGTTACAATCAGGTCGGGTCATTTCCAAGTGAGGTCATATTCGGGTTCAACTAACTATAAATAGATAATTATCATTTTATCAAGCTAATTATTTCCTTTAACTATAATATACAGTATATGGCAATATACTAGGGAACTATAGTCTATAATTTAGGAAGATAGTTATCTCCTTTGACCATACAACAAATATATACTATATTTAACTCTTAAATTTGAGGATGATGCTCCTTTCTTTTGCTGGCCTGGACCGACTTGGTCTCCCTAGACAAAATGCTTTGATCAACAATAATAAGTGGTCTAAATTACATTTAAGGTGATTTGAAATCAAGTCAGGAAAAATTAGGGTTGAATTTAGGTCGGGTCAATAACAAGTCGTGTTGATTTCGAGTCGGGTTAGTAACAGATCATGTTGATTTTTTGGGTCAGGTTAGTAACAGGTCTGGTAAAATTTGGGTCTGGTCAATAACAAGTCGGGTTGAATTTGGGTCAGGTCAATAACAAGTCGGGTTGATTTCAAGTCGGGTTTGTAACAGGTTGGGTTAAATTCGGGTCGGGTTAGGAATGGGTCGGGTTGAATTCAGGTTAGGTTAGTAACAAGTCGGGTTAAATTCGAGTTTTGACGAGTTAAAACGGGTTTGGGTCAATTTGGGTTTAGTCGGGTTCAGTTCAGGTTAATAATTTACGGGTTAAATTCGGGTCGGGTCATCTCCACGTAAGTTCATGTTTGGGTTCGGGTCTCACATACTCTTGTTTACTCGGGTCTAGGGTTGTATCTGGTCGGGTCAGGTCGGGTTTGGGTCACCATTTTTTCGGGTTCAGATCGGTTGGTTAATAATCGGATTTGAGTTGGTATTTCGGGTCGGGTCAACTTTTGACAGCTCTATCGCCATATAGTTTTGGGGTGGAACCTATTTTGGTCTTGTGAAGTGGCCTGGCCCTCTCTCGATTTGCAGGAAATATAGTGACGTGTGTAAAGTTATTAATCAATAAGTATGAAGCTTTAAATGATGCAATTACAATATATTTTTTTTTTTTAGTATTTTAGGGGTTACTAAGGCATGTTCACTTCAAATTAATTTCATTTCATTTCAATTCAGCTCCTAATTTCTTCTCTCATAAAATGTTCATTTCAACTCTATTTAGTTCAGTTCAGTTCAATTCAATTCAGTTTAGCTCAATTCATTAAATATGAACAGGCCCTTAGTCACTGTTTTAGGAATTACCTGTATCAAAGGAAGATATACATTGAACCGCAATAATGATGGTTAACAATTAAAGATTATCTTGATTTGGAAAAAAGTTGATTGGGAAACGAGTATAAAAGGCTGTACATTGAACAATTGAAGAAAAAGGCCGAAATTTAAGCCTTTTGGTCTTTTGGATGTCTCATGGACAATTGTGGTCACTGGCCCATTCTAACTCTACGCACACCATTTGTAATTATCCCGAAAATTATATTTGATCACTAATTTCTCTGTAATTTTGAAAATATGTTTGATATTCTAATGATATGTTTGTATTATTGCAAATATTATGCAGAGTATAATTTTTCATTATTGAGAATCCTTAACCACTTTGCAATAATCATCTAAAAAAAAAACTCCATGATATGGAGTATATTATTAATGATTTCCACATGTGATTATATCTTACCATATTTTGTACACATAATACATTAATACGTCATCAACATTAGAAATTGTATCTTACCATATCTTGTACAAGTTGGAACATAAAATTTGGTAAATAATTTTCAATCTGTACACATTTTATGTCAAATTAGTATTCAAAAATACACATAACAAAATTTAGAATTAATTTTCAAGATAGTACATTAGTAACATTACATAATACTTGTATTTATAATTAAGATGTGATTGTCTGTTCAATTAACAAAGAGTTAATTAACATAAATTAATTAATCTTACATAAAATCCGACATTAACTTATAATAATAAGGTGTCACACCCTAATTTCCAACCTGACCATGTGCACCACATGATTCCCAAAATTCTCTCCTCTTTCCATAATTCCATTAAATTTACACTATATAATCACCCTCAAATCTACTTAATTTCTTCTCCATAAATTTTCTCCTAATTTCTTTAATTTCCTCAAATCACTTTCTAACCCAAATGATCACAACAAGTACTTGTAGTAGTAGTTCATCAACTACTACACTTGTTTTCTCCCTTTGCTTAGTAACATACTTCTTTTCCTCCTACTCTACCGAGGCAGGATCACCCTCGGCTCTACGGACCGTCATACTCGCCCTCACCGGGCTCTCCCTAGTGTCGATATGCTTGATCGTGGTGGCGCGTACCACGATGGTTGCTTGGATCACTGTCCTTGTGTTATTAGCCTTCTCAGGGAAGCGTAGACGTGTTTTGGTACATGATGGGAGGAAGATCACTACTGATGTTGCAATGAACTTGATTAAAGTCATGTTTAAAGAACGCCAATTTCTTACTGTTATATGTGCTGCCGTTGTAAGTCTTTTGACCATGGCTCAAGTAACAAGCAGAGTCTAAATAATTTTATACAAGCTATTAACAGGAAAATATAAAGCAAGTTTGATATTTTAGGACAACTATGCTTTTTATATGTAACTATGAGTTTTGTCATATAGAAAAAGATACATAATTTTTACAATGTATATTGATTGAATTTTGATTTAGAGAATCTTAACTCCTTGGCAAGACCGTACAGTTTATAATTCTACTCATCCTGATTTTTCGAGTCGTACTTATACTAATATTTAAAATAGAAACTTTTTGTTTGTTATAGATAATTTGTAGCGTCTGTATTTGAAAATTATTGCACATAATATAAAACGGATATATGATTGTCAAACTATGCACATTTAGAACTTGCATAGTAGCACCAAGATGATCTGAGGTCCAATGCAGGTGCGGATCAGGCCATTAAGGTTGTTCCTAGACAAATCTAAGTAGATTAGATAACCCTATGAGGCCTTGTCATAAACGCTTATGTTGACTAAACGAAGATAACATTGCACTTTTGGAACTAAAAAAATGGTAAGTATGAGTGAGGGCAAGGGACATCACTTAAGTGTGTGGGGCGGTGATGCTATTGCCAAAGTGTGAAGGCACACCACTACATATGAGGCACGTGTACAAGGGTAAGACATAAAACGATAGAGTACATTTCATCCTTACAAAAACATCTATTTTTGACAATTGAGGATATGTCTTAATTAGACTTTGGGCCAAGAAGCAAGACCAAGCCAAAGGCAAGTCACCTTATGACGTAATAACGACATGTGGGTTAATGTATACTGGGAACCCCAAGAAACACCCCGATGCATAATCTAGCTAGGTCGAAAAATATTTTCTAAATGTTTAAGTTGAAGACTATACACGAAATCAAATCATTTACAAGGAGTTTAGGATAAAGGGGTGATAAGAGGTGTATCCTAAGGTCATAATTTTGTTTAAAACCATCTACCGATCATATAAAGGCTTGAAGTGGGCTTAAATTATGAAAGAAGGCGTGTATTTTACGTCTGTAAACGGCTAAATAGACACATTAAAAGGAAAAAGAATGATTTCAATTGCTCGATTGGCCTCTTATAGTCTCATGAGGTGTATGAAAATCAACATATCTTCTCCTTTTTTTCCAAGTCCAATAAAGTCAAAAATTATCCACAAACTAAAGAAATCCACGCTTTCTTACCAATTTTGAAAAAAATTCATAAAATTGAATGGATTATATGGGGTGTCCATGTCATAAAAATTAAATTGGAACTATTAGAAATGAGTATGGTTCATGTAGGTTTTTATCACTCAGCACACCATTGGTCCATTATTGACTTAGGATGGTTGCCATTTTTTGATGGATAAATGTCCATAACAAATCAAACTTCATCACATGGTTTGCAACAAATCCAACAATAGCCATTATTGTGTGTGGGAAGGAAGGGTTGTTTGCATTAGTGATAGGAGGCATTGTTTACATGCCTCTCAGTCTGTCACCAATGAAACATGTACATTGTTACGTGCTCGATTGGCTGTTCATATAAGCGTTCTATGCAATTAATAAATTTCCATATCTAATTGCCTTTAATAAACATCAATATTACATATACTCTTAATTTATGTGGAAATTACTAGACCCTGGGAATGAATATGGAAGATAATTGTGCACCCGAAAACATGTGCTACATCTCTTACCTTACCTTGACAGGAAACTAATCTCATATTTAAGCACTACTGATTAATGGGAGGGATTTTAGACTATGGTTGAAAAAAATAACTGCTGACAGAATGCTGCTCTCTGCCTCAACTCTTCTGAGTCTTCCTTTTCTTCTTTTTGTTTCAACTTTGATGACTTTGAGCTGCATTGCCACAATAAAACAGTAATAACACTACAGTTAGCTGTGCCGAATGTGACTTGTATCAATATTATACTAACAGTTGATCCGAGGGATAGCAATTCAGACTCAGAAAATGTTTGCTTCATGCAATTAAATAGACCACATATATTATATCCTCCTATTAGCCACAGCAGAGCCAGAGATGTATGTTTTCGAGACCGATGTAGCTAGGAATCATATAAGCATACATACTACAGTTGTAAACTTGCAGAGCATTGCAGTTCATGATATAAGATGACAACCATCAATTTCTTTGTTGTTTCTTTATTCTTTTGATCCTCATTAGTTCCTACTTTGACAGTTAGTACTAGTATATGTCTTGCATTATTTTATAGGAGTATTTTCTAGGTCTAATTGCTAATAGAATGGCTTCTTCAAGGCATAACTATTTCAACAAAAAGCATGCCCAAAGCCGAACTCCCACAACCTGAGAGACGAGAAGATCAGAAGACACCTCAGAAGCAATGAAACACATTCTCTGAGATGGCCTCATTTTAACCTATATGAACATTAAGAGTGAATAAATGGCAAAACATTTTGGAAACTTGATTGTGCGGTAAGCCAGTAAGTTGTCAAAAAAGGGAACCCCAAAACATGACATTGAAGTCTTATCACATGATAACATAATAGGAACGAGAAAATGGCAGCATATTAATCAAGCAAGTGAGCAATAATAGACACCCTTGCTGGCCCAAGTATACAAACTAGAGTATAGTATGTACCTTTCTTTCTCTGGGATGGATGGGAGATCATCAATAGAACACGTATCTTGAGATTGATCATCCTTAGTTTCTGAATATGGTACATTAAACAAAAATGGAGACAGAAGTGGATCGGATGTTAAAGCATTCACATTTTCGGTGCCACCTTTTGCACTCAAGCCACCAGCCATTCTTCCAGCATAGAAGTTCCAGAATCCTGACTTATGAGACCTTCTCCGAGTCTGTAAATCAGTGATATATATTAGAAAAGAGAACTAATGTAGAAGAAATATGATCAACAATCAAAATTTTCAAACAAGTGAACGCTAATAAGCTGAATAAAACTCATTTAATACCTTGATAGAACTCATATGATGCGTTTTAAAATGCCCGACAACATCTTTTCCCAGATTCAGTGCACACACAGGGCAAACCTGAAATCATAGGTATGGGATAGGTAACAAAGTAAAGAAGTGGTATTATTAACTTACTTTTGTAGCATTGCACCTGCATATTCAAGACTTAGTGCCTCATAGCAGATCACATATATCCAGAAATTATATCGAAGATAGAGTAGAATCAGCTGAAGTGCCACAAGCTTCTTATGCAGCTCAATTTATCAAAAACTTTAATAGATACATGTAGACATATAGTGGTGCTAGGAATATCTCTTAAGATCATGAACCTAATTCAATTCAATGGAATCTATAATTCATCCTTAAAATAAAGGACATATTGCATGTTTTAGGCAGAATCATAGTGAACAGAAGAGTTCAACATGTTTGATTGTTTGGTACCTTGAACCGTATGACAAATGAGAGTGAACATTGGAACTCTAAACCTAACTAGATAATATGAGCAATGAGACATTCACAAAGTAGTCATATAAGCAATGTAGCTCAAAATCACACTATAATGATTCTTGCTGAATGCTGAGCATTTCCAAAATCCAAAATGACATCACAACACAAAATTGTCTGCCAACATAAATCTTCACTCATCATCATGTATAAAGGATATGAGTAATAGACAAGGATAAACATACACATACCGCATTCTTGACATCAAAGCAGTGTTCTCCTTGTAGATGATCACAAAGTGTAGTGAGTTCGATATCGATATAACAGAATGGACATGTGAAATAAGCCCTTGCATCATCCTTTACTTCTGAATCATCCAGCACTAATCTATTTCCTGTAAATTGGAAACACTATGAATCATTTCTTATACTTAGTATGAATATTTTTCGGCAAGGGGACAACCAACTTTACAAGTAGGACCATAACAAAACCACCCAAAAAGTTTGTTTTTAAACATCTGACCCCTCTTTCCTCCAATCAATCTTTCTCCATGTTGGCTGCTTAAAGGCAAGTTCTTTGAGTAATTTAAGTACAAATAACTCAATTTCACTTACATTACATCTTCTAAATTATGCGATTTAACATAATCCACAAAATATTAGTAAAATTAAGGATAAAACACAATCCTTAAAAGAGGGGAAGAATTAAAATGAAGCACTAAAAAAGAGAGTATGGTTAACAATCTTAACATTAACAAAAACAATTTACAAAATTTGATAAGTGAGAAAATCCATCTTAATAGAATTTCTAAAACAGACTCAATTATTAGCCAAAAAAAAAACACTACAGTAATACAATAGCCAGATTTTGCATAATTTCTATAGATTTTCTGGAACACACTAATTATACACAATTTACAAGTAAATCTAACAAATTGCAATCCCAAATTATGCAATAAAGCAATATAATTTCTAGACCCACTAAGTTACTCTTAGCAAGTTCAAACCCAAAAAATTGATAGAATTTCTTAAGAAACTAATCACAACTACAAAGGAAGCAAATTTTACAAATAATAATCCCAATTTGTAAAAAAAAAAATCAATAAAAACCCACTAATTATACTACTAACAAACAAGATAAACAAATCATAATCCCAAAATTTGCAAAAGTTCAAGCTAAAAAAATAAGAACCTGAGCTGAGATGGGAGGAGAAATGCCTAGAAGAATGAACTTTTGATGCCCATGAATCCATATCCATTGCTGCTTCTGCTTCTACTTCACCAGGAAAATGTGTCAGCATTTATGAATCAAAAATCAGTGAAAACTTCAATAATTTGGGATTTTTAAGGAGAGAATTTAGAAAAAAAAAAAAAAAAGAGAAATTAGAAAGATAAAGAGAGGAAAAACCTTGTATTTTTGTTAAGTCTTTAAGCAGATGATGATGATGCATAAGTATGTCCTTTTTCTCTCTCCTTTCTTCAACTGCTGCTGCTGCTGTTCTGAGTCACTCACTCTTTGGTTCTTGATCTCTTTTTCAATTGCTTTCTTTTTCATTCTCCTTTTGACTTATAATAACAAATACTTACCAAAAATTAAAAAATAAAATTAAAAGTTGTGACACGTAATTTCTCCGTTTCTTAATACATTACGGAGTACTCCATACTCGCAACACTTGAATTGTCATATTTACGAGTTATCAATGCATAATTTTAATTATTACTCTATATTATTTGCAATTCTTGATAAATACAAAGTTGATATTTTAAGAGTATACTTATATAATACAATTAAATTAACCTGAGGTTATAATACAAAGTTAATAATTGCAATCCAAAATTTTCAAAATTTCAATATTTTCTCCATTTTATTACTAGTTAATACAGAGTACATTTTAATTTGGACATTACTAAAATACAAAGTAAATCACGTCAATTTTTTATAGTTTTTGTTTATTGATAATTAAAATTATAAATTATGGAGTACTAAGGGTCTGTTCTCATACGATTATTTTCAGTTCAATTCAGTTCAGTTCACTTCATTTCAGCTCCTAATTTCCTTCTCTTATAAACAGTTTAGTTCAGTCTATGAGAACAAGCCCTAAATTATTGATGTTTGAAACATACTCATACAAAGTATATTAACAAATAGTCGCTGGCTGAGAGTGATGGATAGCTCAAGTGGTTAGAGGTTCCCTCCCGATTCCAGGAGATCCTGGGATCGATTCTCACCCCCGCCCTTGTAGCTCTCTAAACACCAAAAAAAACAAATAGTTGCTGGCTTAAATGAACATGTCAATACAAAGTAGTTACTTGTAAAAGAAAAAAAAAATACTCCCTTTGTTATTTTTATAAGCTAGAGTTGGAATTTTTCATTAGAATAATTTTTTCATAATTTTAATTAATCTTAACAAAAATATTAATGGTCAAAGTTATATCTCCATAATTTAATTCAAGCTTATATACGAAGTACAGTACATAAAACAAAGGGAGTAATAGAGTATGGGAAAGCTTTTACTTTCCACCGGAAAACAACAAAATGGTGAAAAGTTTTCTATGGATAATTGACACGTGGAATAATTTAATTAAATTGGAGGAAAGAAAAGAGAAAAAATAAAATAAAGAAGTGATATGATGTCATTGGCTTATATTAAATGCAGGCGCCCAATCAGAACTCAAGCAGTCCATGTCACTCACTCTGTGCTTTTGTCACGTTTCTTTCATCCTTTTTCACTATTTCTTCTCTTACTTTCCAATTTTCCATACTTCCTACTTTCCTTACTTCTTCAACTTGGAAAGTTGTTTACCCCATTTTGAGTTGATGATAATTAATATCCCATTATTATTTACACACTTATATTCATCATACTCCGTTTATACTTTGGGTCTGTTCTGAGCTGAATTGAACTTTTTGGAGCTGAACTGAATTGAACCGAACAAAATATTTTATGAGAAAAGAAAATTAAGAACTGAACTGAAAATAAGCTGAACAGAACAAGCTCTTCGTATGCATAAGTTTGACATATACAAAGTACATGTTTAAAAAATATAGTACTCTGTATTAAAAGTTGATATAATGGAACTTTGTAATGTATTAACACCTATTTATAAACATATTTCAAGATAATATTTATTTTTAACACAATGCTAATAAATTATGGGCAAAGTTAATTAACAAACAACTAGTGAAAAAAGTCTCACGCATCAATTACTCTCGGATGGATGGAATATAAGCTCACTTAATTTATTATTTGTTTGGTTGTATACTTGTTCATAGTTTGTAAGGTTGTAATCAAAATTCAGATTGGATCAAACCAAGCCTAAGTATTAAAGTCCATGTTTAAACACTCAAAATAGTGTTTGGCTTGTTAGACTTTTTATACATTACAAATGTACTTTTAGGATTTTTGAAATTTGAAACCCGTGCTTTTTTGAAACATACCGGATCAAAACATTAATACTCATCTATAAAATTATAAAGTGGTATTATAATAACTCGGAGATTTAAAAAGGTCATAAAATTTTCATGTGTTCTCCTTATGTTCGTCTACTAGTATCTTAAATTTATCTTTCTAAAATTCTTTTAATCGCACATATCTACTGCAAATGAGTAGAGCATAGAAAAATTACTTGAAGAGGTAATACATGAATTTGTACAAAACATTTCATATATAATCTCTAATAATCAAGAAATAAAGTTTATGCAACATATTCTTCAACACATATACATATACCCATTAAAAGTTGCTTTAATAAGATTGGGACATTTTGCTTGTCATGCACGTTCAAGGGAAAAAGAGAATCTTAGTACTGTTTTTCTTTTCTGAATGGAAATTCAAAGACAAGATGAAGTTCACACTTTTTGCGTCTCAATTAATTGTACTTAAATAGTCTGTTACCTAATTAATCTTGATTAAAGTTGAATCGTGTTCGCCTAAGAAAAGGAATTTCAATAATAATTCCATTTAAACAGAAAAGGGTTTTGAATATTTTATGTCTAATTAAACTTTTTATACCATTCAAGAAATTAAAGCAAGACAAATTAAGACAGGTGCATATGCTAATTGTCCACCACAGGTTTGCAATTAAGCGAGTCGCAATATTTTAGTTCGCAATGGTTGACTCACTTTAAAGCAAGCATACAACATTGAATAATCAAAAATCCATTTTTATACACAGAAAGAAAAAGATAGAATAAAAAGTGAACAAAAAAATTTGTCATGTACAAGTCCGAAACCTCAAAAATTTCTCAAAAAACGTGGAAATTAGCCTTTAATTTTGGAATTTTTTCGATTTTTTTTCACCCAGAAATAAAAATTTGCGAAATGTTTACCATGGACCCTAATACCCTCCGGGAATCCAATTGGTTGGGTGAAACCATCTAATATGCCTTTAAACGACCGATTTATCGGTTTACAACTTGCACCAATTTCATTAACTCAAGCTGACCACGAATATTTATAACAACATATAATGATCAGATATGGATCCAAACGACATTATATGACCCTGAGATGTATCCCCTAAAATCTCAATTCTTTTCGACACTAGGCCCTGAAATATACGAAATTTCTCAAAAAAACGTGGATAAGACTTCAATTTTGGAATTTTTTCCGCCCGGAAATAAAAATTGCCGAAATGTTTATCATGGACCCTAATACCCTCCGGGCATCCAATTGACTGGGTGGAACCATCAAATTTGCCTTTAAACGACCAATTTACCGGTTTAAGACTTGCACCGATTTCATTAACTCAAGCTTACCACAAACATTTATGACAACATATAATGATCATATATATATGGATCCAAACTGCATTATATGACCCCGAAATGTATCCCCTAAAATCTCAATGCTTTTCGACAACGGGCCCCGAAATATTCAAAATTTCTCAAAAAACGTGGATAATTAGCCTTCAATTTTGGAATTTTTTAACTTTGTTTTGCCCGAAAATAAAAATTGCCGAAAAGTTTACCATGGTCCATAATACCCTCCCGGAGTCCAATTGTGAAAGTGAAACCATCCAATTTGTCTTTAAATGACCAATTTACTGATTTACAACTTGTACAGATTTTATTAATTCAAGTCTACCACGAACATTTATGACAACAAATAATGATCATACATGATTCCAAAACGGCATTATATGACCCCGAGATGTATCCCCTAATATCTTAATGTTTTTCGACAACGGGCCCCGAAACCTCCAAAATTTATAAAAAAAGCGTGGATATTAGCCTTCAATTTTGGAAATTTTTTATTTTTTGTTCACCCGGAAATAAAAAATGACGAAATATTTACCATGGTCCCTAATATCCTTCGGGATTCCCATTGGGTGGGTGGAACTATCCAATTTGCCTTTAAATGACCAATTTACCGGTTTACAACTTGCACCGATTTCATTATAACTCCATCCTACCACGAATATTTATGACAACATATAATGATCATAAATGGTTCAAAACTACATTATATGACCCCAAGATATATTCCCTAAAATCTCAAGTCTTTTTGACACCGGGCTCCGAAACCTCCAAAATTTCTCAAAAAGCGTGGATATTAGCCTTCAATTTTGGAATTTTCGACTTTTTTTTGCATGTAAATAAAAATTGCCGAAATGTTTACCATGGTCTCCAATAGCCTCCGGGAGTCCAATTAGGTGGGTGGAACCATCCAATTTGCCTTTAAACGACTAATTACCGGTTTACAACATGCACCGATCCGATTTCATCAACTCAAGCCTACCACCAACATCTATGACAACATATAATGATAATATATGTTTTCAAATGGCATTATATGACCCCAAGATGTATTCCCTAAATTTTCAAGACTTTGCGACTTCAGGTCTTGAAACCTCCAAATTTTTTTGAAAAGCGTGGGCATTAGCCTTTAGTTTAGGAAATTTTTGACTTTTTTTTGCCAGAAAATTAAAATTGCTGAAATGTTTACCATGGTCCCTAATACCCTCCGGTAGTCCAATTGGGTGGGGAGAACCATCCAATTTGCCTTTAAACGGCCAATTTACTGGTTTACAACTTGCACCGATTTCATTAACTCAAGCCTACCACGAACATTTATGAAAATAAATAGTGATCATACCATGGTCCCTAATACCCTCCGAGAGTCCAATTAGGTGTGTGGAACCATTCAATTTGCTTTTAAACGACCAATTTGTCGGTTTACAACTTGTACCGATTTAACGGTTTACAACGGCCAGTTTAATTAACTTGCACCGAACCCAACTTGAACCGAAATTGACCCAAACCCGTTTTAAACCTTCAAAACCCGAATTTAACCCGACTTGTTACTAACCTGACCTGAATTTAACCCGACCCGACCGTTCCTAACCTTACCCGAATTTAACCCAACCTGTTACAAACCCGACCCGAAATCAACCCGACTTGTTATTGATCTGACCCTAATTCAACCCGACTTGTTTTTGACCCGACCCGAATTTTACCATACCTATTACTTATTCAACCCAAAAATTCAACCCGATCTGTTACTAACTCGACTCGAAATTAACACGACTTGTTATTGACCCAATCTAAGTTCAACCCAAATTGCTCTTGACCCGATTTCAAATCACCTTAAATGCAATTTAGACCACCTTATTATTGTTGATCAAAGCATTTTTTCTTGGGAGACCAAGTCGGTCCAGGCCAACAAAAGAAAGGAGCATCATCCTCAAATTTAAGAGTTAAATATAGTATATATTTGTTGTATGGTCAAAGAAGATAATTATCTTCCTAAATTATAGACTATAGTTCCCTAGTATATTGCCATATATATTATAGTCAAAGGAAATAAGTAGCTTGATAAAAATGATAATTATCTATTTATAGTTAGTTGAATCCGAATATGACTTGACTTGGAAATGACCCGACTTGATTGTAACCTGCAAATTATTGACTTGAACATAACCCGACTTGAATCCGAGAATGAACCGACTTGAAAATGACCCGACCTGATTATAATCCGCAAATTATTAACTTGAACCGAACCTGACTTGAACCCAAAAATGACTCGACTTGAACCCAAAAATGACTCGACTTGAAAATGACCCGACCTGATTATAACCCGCAAATTATTGACTTGAACCGAACTCGACTCAAATCAGAGAATGACTTGACCTAATTATTGATTTTAACCCGCAAGTTTTCCCTTCAATAATAAAATTCGGTTTACAACCCTCTATCTACCCATCTAAAAATAATTACTTCGTATAACCGTATATATAATATGGAGTGCTTATCGATTTGTGACCGAAAGTTTAGTCATCAATTTAATACTATTTTTAACCCAACCTAATGAAACGATGTCATATCTTTGTCTTATAAAATTAAACTAGAGCATGCAATAGCGGCCAACAAAATGATAAAGTTGATCGGTAAAAGACATAACCTATTCTTAATTCTAAAATAATGGGAAATGGAGGCCAATTAGCCGTTGAATGAATCCCACGATAATTATCATAATATATGGTCAAGATTTGTATATTAATGATACCAATCATAAATTAATAGTCAATCATGAAACTTTATAATAGACGTATTAGCAATTACGTGAAAATATAGATTAGGCATGCTAATTGTTTTTTTCCCTTAGAAAACACTTATTATTTTCAAAAGAACCCCTTGAAATAATGAACCCTATAATAGATAATAGTAACAACTAACAAGATTTAAATACTGTATGTGATACGAGTAGTAGCTGCCACGCAAAATTAGCATAAATTATAATTTAACTAAAGACTTTTTCTATTCATAAATCTTCGTTACCTACCCTAGGCAATAGACATCTTAAATTCCTCTTATACCTTTCCAAAATAAAAACGTTTTTTATTCTTATTATAAATTTAACTCATGCACATAAAATACTACTCTCTTTTAATAATAATAATAATAATTCCACGGAATAGGAAATCAATACTTTTTAATGTTGTTAATAGTGTTGCCTGTCTTGCCACAATATCATTTCTGTGTAACAATTTATCATTTTATTGTCAATATAAGCAATTAATTTTCTAATGTAAAATCATCTCTATGTAAAAATAATACCCTTGACAACAAAATAATCACAATCAGAACAAGAAGTAAATTAAATCGCCAAATTTTGGGAAAAACAAAAAATGAAATACTTTAAAATTTGAGATCATTTTTGCCATTCATGGTAGAACTGTATAATAAGGGAAAATTTGCACATAGATGTGTAGCAAACGAGTGAACGAGGTGTATAAATGCTTGTACTACAAAAACATGCTAGTAAGTAGAAATAGCAAAAGATTTCAAAAGTATAATAAATAAACTACAAAAACACCAAAATACATGAAGACAATGCAATGGAAACCCCACTTATACGTACATGACCAAATTGTCCAAATTGGTTTCAATATTATGGTTGCACCACATTAAGCCCTTTTATTGCAATCCTTAAAAATTACTTGAAAATTGAAATCTGATTAGAGTGCAAGAAAGACAAGGACCAAGTTTTCCGTGGCAAAAAACAAGAAAACAGCACAAAGCAAGAACTTTGCTATGAAACCATTGTAAACATCTTGTTTATTGATGATTCAATCCCATTAAATCAATATTCAGATTAAAATAGACCTAAATTCGGAAAAATTAGGTAGGAAACCTAAAATGTTAACAACCAAATATAATACTCCGCCTGTTTAATTATTATGTCCGAAAACGAAATCGCTATGAAATTTTAAGACCAAAATCAAAATCTGAAATTCTTAGCCAAAACATACATAAACAATGAAACATCAAATGAAATAGAAGTTGTAGTATATCATATGCTTCTATGGCTTGGTTGATTCTAATGGCCGCTTATTAACCTGTTTAAATAACACCAAACTTTCCACATAACTAAAAACTATATAACTTGAAGACCTTGAGTAAGTTTTTGCAAGATCTCTTACCCTTTCTCTTCTAACATCGTATGATTTTATTCCTTTCCCATCAACAGCAAACAATAATTCACCATTGGTCTTGAAATGCAAGAGCTTATCGAATTGCAACGTAAATGTGTAACATTTGCTCCATGATTTCGACACACCGTACTCTCCCATCACCCATATATCATTCCGGAGTTGATAATGAGCACAAAATACGGCAAGTGATCGTCCTAACACCGTTGGAAACTTCTCCTTTGGTTCATCATCAGTTTTTAAGGCCTTAGGTAGATCAAAATACTTGAACACTTCATTTTCAACATCAAATGAAACTATATGTGAATCTTTTTCCTTGAACCATGAATCAGCATCATTTGTAACATTTGGTCCGAAGTTTATCCAATGTATCGCGCCATTTAGAAAAACTTGTTGCCCAGCACTCCAATAAGGTGGAGGACTAACACCAAGGTTGCTACTCCAAGAATTGGTACCAAGTGTATACACTTGTACTAAGCCCGGGATGGTAGCACGATAGCGCTCCCCAAAATAGTACTTGATCTCGGCATGAGGATATATTATTGCTATGACCTTGTAATCATTGCGAGAGGCATCATACCCGAAACCAAGCACAAAATAAGTAGCCTCTTTCATAGCTTCTAACATCGGATTAGGAAGACTAAGCGTGCTATTTATGGAAGGGTTCCACAATATAATTTCACGAAATCCCCTTGATTTTCCCTTCTTTACCAAAAGTAGCCCATTTATGTAACTGATCATTTCATAAGCTCCTTCAAAATGATCATATAAACATTGAAGTTCCGTGACCTTCCTAAAGGTATCACCACGGCGTACCAAGATTCGTTCATCTCTTAGCCAACTCCTAGCAGGGCGATACAAAACCAACAAGTGACATACCTCGGAATTGTTCTTGTAATTTTGAAGATGGGTAGAAACAAACTCCGGACCATCAATCAAAGACCGCCACAGCTTGGATACGGACCTGTACTTGAGGAGGTCGCGTACTGGCAGCTTTGAAAGTACTTCTTCAACGAGTATGTCTTCAGGCAAACCATCAGCTTCAGTCTTAGGCCTTTTCCTAGCTGTCTTTCCACCCACAACCAACTCACATATAGAAGAAACATCAGTGATCTTATTAAAAAGACGTTTCCTATCAGCCCTGTCGAATTTATACTTGGCAGCATAATAAGATGCTATCGCATATAACCATGCATCGCTGTGCAACGCGACCATAGACAACCAGTCGTGTTTTGTCATGCTGTCCCTTACAAAGTTGATCCCTAATCTTGGCTCAGGAAGGTCTGAAGAAGGAGGAGGTAAGTTGACCTCCCATTGTTGGTTAGGGAAGGCATACAAACATAGATTCAGATTATTAGGATCACACAAATGATAGAATTCATCGACATCCTTAGTCAAAGCTTTGATCATCCCTGCTCTTCTACCTTTAAAATCCTGAATAACATCTTCCACCGTTCGAGGATTCGACATCTACAACAATTGAAAACGAATGAGGAATCAACAAAAAACGATTATCCTTTTCATCAGGTTATTTAGGGGCAGAAATTTTCGAAGATTAAATTTCTTGATTAATCAAATTATAGAACTTTTAAGGGTTGATAAGCTAGGGATAGAAAGAGATGAGTGGAATTTAATTAAAGCATGATTAAGGATAATGGGGGTTATGGACGAGTATTGATTGGCTAAACAAGTGAAATGTCAGAAAGTTAGAGGTGAGTAGATGTTATTTTTGACTATTGTTTTATGACTTTATGTAAGTTTCATGTATTTTTCTTATTATATACACTTTGATGTGATTTCCAAGTACCTTCCTTAATCATATTTTATATTCCTATAGCATATTGTGTGAAATTTCTAACTTGAACTAATTGCAATAAAGAAATTCCTTTCGAGACATTGACATCAACCCCCAAGCCTATGCCTTCCTCACAAACAAGAAAAGTATATATTCGGAAAGGAGAAGAGCCATTTTTGTTTAATACAGCCCGAATACTCGAACCGGTGTACTCTTTCCACCTTTACCAAGTCAGAAGCAACTATCTTAACTCCTAAGCAAGAATAGAAGAGCCCTTTGAAGTTGTAAAGTGTATGCCTTGCCCATACCATTCTCTAGTTGCATATATTATCATTATCAGTATGACACTATTACGTGAAAAACAAGTTATTCTGATTTAATTAATCAGGATCGGTTCATATTTTGTTGATGAAATATTCAAAATCAACTTAGTTCAATTCAATTTTAATGAATAACTTCATATATTGATCTACTAAACTACCTATCAATTATTTAATCAACTATCATGCGCGAATAGCTTATAAATCTTTCTACACATTTGTTATGAAGAAAAACTGTAAGGTAAAAAGAAGCTGAGGTTACCTGATAAGTGGGGAGGTTCGTGTTCCTTCTAGCTCAAGATTTACATGGTGACCTGCAGCTGAAATTACCGTGAGATTAATTAACCAAGTCGTTTCAAATTCATTAAGTTGTAACCACTTAAGTTATGTAGCAAATTACTTAATTATTAAAACAACAGTGTACAAGACAAAAATAATCTTGCCTTTGTGCAAAACTATAGAGAATGATTTGTACATGTTCTAGATGATGTAAATTTGTATGTTTTTCACATTGAATAGAACAATACATGTTTACAACCAAATATAATCAGTTTTCCTTAATAATTGTACAATTGTACCAGTAAGTAATGGCATCACGAATACACGGGAACTATTGTGTACTCCGCATTACACATTACTGTCACAATCTATTCAGAGTAACATCCAAAACCCAGATAAAAAAGAGAAGGGATTCTTTATATGAGACATCTTATGATGCCTACATATATACAATACAATGCCAAGCTACAGCAATATAGTACATAAGTCTGGCGTACAGAAACATCAGTTAGAAACTAATAATGACCGGGGATTGAAATAGAGAATCTAGAGCTCCATGGATACGAACACGTGATGATAACCAACAGATCAACAATGCATATGAATCACAAAATAGCCAAGTATTTCATTAGATGCAAACTTAACTGTTCTGACTAACAATGTTAACTTGGCTTGCTTTTTCCTAGTTTTAATGGGCTTTTATCTACATCCTATAACAAAATATGTTCTAACATTGAATCTATTTTTTGGATGCCTAATTTAACCAATCTGCTTGACTACTAATCTGAAACTCGAAGTTTAATGGAATCATAAATGCCACCACCGGACTGAATCACTCAAAGCCTACAGGGTTTATCCCAATTTATGCCAAGTTCCTTCACCTCTTTCAGCTAATAGAAGATGGCAGTATGCAGACACAGAGTTTGGTTGTCATAGCCCTTGAGAGTATGGAATGCAATCTTTAGAAGTTTTCTCTTCCTATGAGTTACTATTTTTACAAGCACATTGAGTTGACCTGAATCACACAAACATCCCCCCCCCCCCCCCACCACCCCCCACCCCCACCCACCCCTGTCTTCTCTCCTTATTTAGGTTAAGATTGAGAGTGATGGGAAGGATTTAGGTTCCATGTTACGACATGATACTCCTTACACTTACAAAAGTAAAGTAACCATGATATATAGGAGTCTAAGGTTTACAAAAGCAACAGAATCCTCCAGCTTCAGATTTGATAAGAGAACCAGAGTGTAACAACAACTCAGATATGAGACTCTGCTTCATAATTTACAGCAGGAAAACCGAAAACAGAGATTCCTAACACCAGTCGGGTTCCATTAATTTTTCTAGAAAAATGTAGCAAGTGAGTTCATCCTTCAATGCATGCAACATTCTCATCTTGTTACCTACAACCCCATAGAGCACTAAGATCTCCTAGCAAGCGGACTTTAAAGCAAAGAGTATACTACTCCTTTTCGCAAGATCCTTGGTCAGCTTCCTTATCAGATCATACAACTTTTACCCCTCCACATTTAACAGCAAGATGTACCTTGGGTTATGACCACCAAAATCTGTGCACCACCCAGACTATGCTAACACCCAGGACAGCATACTCTTTCATCACCCAGACTATGTATTCATCAACAAAATTTAATCAGTATCTTTCACTCCTAACACCTGGGACAGCATACTCTTTCATCATCCAGACTATGTATGCATTGTTGGAGTACCTAATAAATAGAGTGAACGATTCGTTCCCAATCACTGGCACTATGTCTGATATTTCTCCACCTCCTCTACTATCACCTACTCACCTCCTATGGTTAAGCTCCCTAGATTTCTCTGTTGCTCACACCAATTCAATGAAATATACAGTTTACAGAAGCATGTGGATCACAATTCCACCAACTCAAAGGACAAATATTTATTCTCTTCGAAGAGCTCATCCTCCTTGAGTAGATTTTAAATTAACTAGGTCTGGCAGCAACATATTGTACTTAAAATTTAGCTTGGAAACGGAAAATAGGAAGTAATTAATTCCAACAAAGGGGTCAAAGGTAGCGCAGCAGTTCACATAGTAAAATGCCAAATTCCAAAAGGCTAATCCCAACTACATAAACCACCATGATTGGAGTTAGGAAAGGCCAAAAAACTAAGATTTCCTAACACAGGGGTTCCAAATTATACTCCATTAAGCTCCCTAAAATTTGCATTAGTATACTCCATTAATACAACCCAACAAATCAGTCTCCCAATCAACAGCGAAATCAAATTCCATGATCTTTCAAAATGTACCACTAAAAGTTAGGATGAAATACCCTTTCTACTTTCTTCTTGGCATGCAATGGCTGCTATTGCTAAACAATGAACCAATGGTGATTTGACTGATTTATGAAAACACTTTGAACTCAAGTGCTTAACAACAATCAATACAATAATATACAAGAGGGGGAAAAAAGATGGATAATTCATGAAAAATTACATTAAAAGTCAAATACTAGCAAGCTAAAACCTTATAGTACTTGCAAAATCTATTTACAATTGTTGATGTTGAGTTCTCGTATTTACGAACTAATATACATTAGCATCAATACTACAAATAAAGCTCTCTAAAGTAGTAGCAAACAATCATTGAATAATTGATTAGCACAATTACACATTTTAAATATTACGTAAAATATTCAAAACATGCTCTTCCTACAGTGGCCACTGCCACAAGGAGAAGCAAACCAGCTTCAAAAGCATGTAGACCTTCGAATGAGCTACACTCTTCCTTGTCTCAACAAGTTTCATGAAAGCTCATTTAGATTCTTCACCTTTCGAATCTCTCATCATTTTGAATGTCATCAACGAAATATGAAATTCATAAGCAAATGTTCAAAAAATAATAATTAACAAATCAAAAATTGAATATTCATCGGAAATTTTGGAAAGTTGAAGAAATTTTCTTATGACAAAGGAAGATAAACGATTAGCTGGATTAAAGCATATAATTTTTTTTTATATATAAAAAAACATTTTTTTTTTACTCGTCAAACTGCTTTTCAAGTTCTTGTAAGTGTTGATCAACGACACTTTGAAAAGCTTCAGCTCGAAAATGGAGAAGAATAGTTACTCGTGACTTATAAATACGAACTTTCATTCTCCCTGGAACAACATGCATTCCCCCCATATTAGAAAAATCAATGCCATGCTTAACCGTAAATGAAGTGACCTTATTCTTGTGAGAATTTCATCCATCATCTCTTAAATATTGTAAATGCTCCTTAGTTATATTAACCAAGCCTTCAAGCCAAGTCCCTCAACCTTATCTAAAACACTGCCTCTAGAACTCACTTAGCTTGCCTCTTTCGAAGAAATTCTTTCCCCTCTGGTGAACCAGCCACAAAAGTCAATAGTCTTGCAAGTACATTGACAAATAACAAATAAAATCAGCAATATTTTCGGCAACAGCAGCTACTGCTAGTGTCAATTAAAGTTTGTGCGCAAGACAATGAACATGAAATGCTGATGAAGATAACTTCATGATTAAAGTTTAAGGTCATCTTTTGCATCTTGCATCTTGCATCTTGCATTTTGCTAGCAGCCTAGCACCACTATAACATTAATTCAGACTCTAGAAAGACTTAGAGAAGACTACATAAGGACTCGATTGCAGATTTCAAATGTCAAATGTGTATTATCAGAAAAATGTACAGTACCAACAAGAAAACGCTCTGTTATTTCTACTCTAGTATTAACATACCACAAACAGAGACTTACTTGGTCTTTATCGATAGATAAGCATACTCATCAATAAGGAAATTGTCTCTTTTGCACAAACATTCATGATATCCTATAGAATTGAAGAAGCTACCATTTGAAAGTGAAATGGAGCCTTTTCTAATCCAACTTTCTGGACATCAGGAATATACATTGAAGCATATTTCCAAAATCCAAGAAAATTACCCATAATCAACATACAAGTCTCTTATTCATACTACCCACAAGCAAGCACATTATGTAGTAAAAGCCACCTCAAACATCAAAATAAAGCTTCTAATTGCTTTCAATAATGACTCACAATTTGCTCATAATGATCGAAGACCCTCCATTAACACAAGCAGTCTCATTCTACATTAGATAGCAAACAGAGCTTTCAATATTGCATCTTCATAACACTATAGCCAAGCTAAATTCTGTGCTTTCCACACCATTTATAGCTAAATTGGCGCATTGCTTTCTCAAGAGGTCTTTGAGGAAAGTAATGGGTATAGTATTGACAAGGTTTTCCTAGAATATACCACCATAATTCTGTCATTTGAATAAAAATCACTCATCCTCCTCCTTATTTCCCAAGTCATGTGAAAGATATAGAACACACCATTTACTTAATCTCGTGATTAATTACATATTAAAACCTAAGATTTGAGCCTTCTCCAACTTCTGCTTCAGCCTCTTGTGTAGCAATAGCCCGGAATTCTAGTAAGAGAATTTGGACTTTCCATTTTCTTTATATATTCTTCTTAATATCCTTTGGTTCTCTCCATTCTATTTAATAAATTCAATTACAACCTAATTTATACACAAATTCTCCAAAACACAATTTCACTTGATGAATTCAATTAGAGCCTTATACAATCTGAAATTTGGACTAGCATCATTCATCTCTGACTTACAAAATTGAGAAACTTCTATCCTCAAATTAAAAATCAAATGCAACCATCATCAATTTATCATATCAATCCACCATTAAAACCTAAATCCCAAATTGCAACTGAATTCCCAAAAAAAAAAAAAAAAAATTACATCCTTTCATAATTCGTATACACAAACAAACTCATAAATAAACTATAAGCAAATCATACAATCACAAAATGACCAAATTGTACTAAAATAAAAAACATCGCATAAATTTGCAACAAAATAGTAAATTGCGAAAGAATGAGATAGATTGAACAGGGAAATTAAGCTTACCTGCAAATATCCAAGTTGATCTTCAGATTTTACTGAGTGCTGCGTCACCGGAAACTACACTCCTCAGCGGCCGATACTCTGAGTCGCTGCCGGTAATAACACCTCGCTACTCTTTCCGCGTCGTCAGCGAGGCCAGGATTTCGAAATGGGCGTAAGCAGCGAAGAAATGGTAGGTTGAAGGGTGGTGAGAATGTGAGACTAAAGAACAATGGTTTTATAAGTTTGGGTTTGGGGTGGAGAAGGGGAGTAGACGCGCACAACATATCACACTAAAAAAAAATACGATAAGGTACGACATGATCAAATACGTTGTACGATAAGTCAATAAGGCATGATATAATCAAATACGTTGTATTTACATATCTCTTAATATCTTGATCAATATGATATCTTACATTACTAATATGTGAAAATTGTGTTATCATTCTATGTATTTGTTGATGTATATCTTAATGATTTTGGATATTTATTAGTTATAATCATATAATACTCATATGTAGAGGTGGGCATGGGTCGTGCTGGCCTGCGGGCGGCACGATGGAGGCACGGCCGAGCACGAGCCCGCCAATGACACGGCCCGACAAGAGCCCGCTAGTGGCACGACACGGTGACCGAGGAGTGGGTCGTGCCGTGAACACAGTTTTGAAAAATCGGTATGGGCATGGTGGGCGGCGCGATAATTTGGCCCGTCGGCATGGCACGCGACACGCCCTGGCCTGTGCAATGGGCTATATTTCGCTGCTTCCAATAGCCATAAAAATGGCTATAACAAATAAGTAAAAGAACTATAAAAAAAAAAAAAAAAAAACAACAATAATAATAATATAATAATACAAAAACATAAATATAAACTAATAAAATTATTTAAATATACTCATTTTAAAAGTTGTTCAAAAAAATTATATATCAATTTTTTTTTAAAAAAAATTATGGGCGGCTTGCTGCCCGACACACCAAACACGTGTGGGCCGTGCCATGCCATGGGCTAAGGTGTGCCAAATGGTGGCCCAGCATGGCACGGCCTGACACGAGTCACCACCAGGCACAGCCCGCGGTGGCCCGGCACGACGTGTGCCGACTTCTCATATGTAACATTATATAAACAGTTGTATTATAAACAGTTGTATTTTATAAGTATAATTATACTTTATTCTTTCTCATATAGTATTTATCTATTAGCTTAATGTGGCCCAAATTTCATAAAACCAACTAATTATGTCTTTAATGGTTTTTACATAATTCTAGGATGTTGTTAATGAAAAAATGTGGAGGACACTAGAAACCATGAATGCTCCTAAGGTTTCTAGATGCATAATTTATAGAGCATGTATATAGAGTCTTCTACACACTTCATCGATCACCCATTCTATAAATATAAGGTGTTGGGAGCCACTTGAAATAATCGTCAAAAATCTTTTCTAACAAGTCACAGGCAATATTCATTCATAGTATGATTCTTGCTAAGCTTATTATAGTTTTGATAGAAGGTTTTTCTTGATTATGATTTTTTTTTCTTTTATATAAATTTATCTTTTGTTTGCATGCATGCATATTTCTTGATTAAAATTTAAAACAGTGCATGCTTTAAATCACCAGGGTCAACCTATAATTATTTTAGTAAAGCGTAAAAGTATTAGGTTTCATTGCTGGATATAAATTCTAACTTTTAGCCTCACGTCGATTAAAAAATTTATTGTCACAGCTAAATATATTTTCTTCTTACCTAATATGAAATTCTGTAAGCTATTAAACAGTTGAGCATTATCTAGATTTGGACAGGTCAGGCAACACTTTTAACAAATGAACATATCAAATTAAACATAAAAGTGGGTTGGAAATGGGGAAATTAAACTGATCTTGTGGTTGGAATTTTCGTGTTAGTTTTCAAATGATCAGAACAATGTAAGGCAAAAAGATATCCAATAACTGAACTAATCATATCATATTTCATATTACATAGTAAGAGAAATACCACAATTTCTCTCAACTAAATAAACTAATCCCAAATATATCCCGCTTCATGCTTTAATCAAAATTTTTTCTTTCTCTCATAAAAATTTCATTATACGAGAAACTATCACAACTTCTGTCAACCAATAACAACAAATCTTTCAAATGTAAAATTAGAACTCTCTAGATAGAGAAAGTTTTAGTGAGTTGAGAAAATATTTCTCTGCAATTTCTTTCGTATATATCTTTGTTCATATCGTTCTTCTTTCTATCTTTTGGTTAAAAATTAATTTGAAGTTATTTACCATGAAATCATGAATAATATTCTGTTTTTTTCAAGTTATTTTATTTAGTCATTTCTATATAAAAAAAAAAAACAAGCTAAACTAATATGATTAGGTTAACTAATTAAATAAAGTTAAATACAAAAAATGTGTTCAAATATGTCAAATTTAGTTGAATTATATTATAAAAGTCTTTTAATACTATAGCTTGAGTAATTTCATTGTGGAAAATAGCAATTCACTTAAAAAAAATTGTACAAGAAAGATAGTGGGGTTAATAGTTTATTGAAAAGTAATGTATGTGAGAAAAAAAGATATAATAAAAAAAAAGTAGTAGTGGGTTTGGGTGGGGATCATGAGAGTGTCAATCAATCAATAACTATATACTAAAAGACACATCAGCAATGACACATGTCAGTTTCTGGTGTGTCCTTAGTATTTTTAATTAAAAAATATTTAATAGAAAATTTATTTAAGGAAATTATTTGTAAAATTTAATTACTAGTAGAAAAGATATTTAATTTTTTTTTTATATATTCACATTCAATTAACTAATTAATAAGAAAAATAGAATAGCAAAATATAATCTTTGTAAATATTTTTAAAAAATACAATCTTCTACTATAAGTTTTTATGTGGCAAACATAATATCCGTTTCAAGCATACAATTAAAATAGACAAAAGTAAATGACTAAAAACGAGATATTACAATATATGATCACTGATAAGTATATAAGTACATAATTTTTTTTGTCAATAATCGTGCATGGCACGGAACCTAACCTAGTGATATAATATTTTAATGTAGTTTTTTGCCAAAAAATAAAGTGTAACACTTAAAAAAACACGGCCGGAAGTGAGAAGTGTAACACTTAATTAAAAAAAATACGGGGGAGTATAAATTTTTGATGGGAAGACTAATAAAGACAATTTTTTATTGTTATATAAGTTTTGTAAAAACAAATCTTTTTAAAAAAATTGAGGTGCTCTCACTTCTCAGGAGACTGGTACAATGGCAAAATTTTATTTTAAAACAACTCAATTCTCCCTTTATAATAAAAAATAATTACATTTTAATATGATATTAGATCAAATTTACCATTAATTTGACACTTATAAAAAGATTCATCATATGGTTCATGTTGAAATCCAATTCTCTAATTGTTATTCATATTTTTATGTACAACATGTATCATAGTATTTTCTTTTAATGAGAATCTGTTTGGCCATCAATAAACAAAAATATGATGTGTAATAATTTTTAGGTACCGCTCAAAATGGTTCTAATGTAAATATCTAAACAAAGGCTAGGGTAAAAAAGTATAATAAAATTCAAATGTGACCATTTTATATAGACATATCTGCAAAATATATATTCCTTTAAACATTTTCATATTGAATAACTAACTAACCTAGCTAGCTAGAGCTAGGTTAAAGGCAAACAATCCATTATTTACAAAATTATATTATGAAATCACATATTTTGTAGCATAACTAGAAAAACAGCTAACTTGAACTAAATTAGCAATCAATATAATATATTAAGAGATCAAAACCAGAAATAATTGAAACCCATAAAAGAGGAGGTTAATTGAATTGAGCTTATATAGATGTATTTAGATAATAGTACAATCCCAACTCATAAAATTAAATCAAGAAATAAAAACCAAAATTTAAACAATATTGGAAAAAAGAACAACCCAAAGATAAGTAATTATAATGATGAGTAGTACGTATATTAGTAGCTAGTAGTTGATGATTAGATTCAGAATTCGGACCAGGAGTGCTTAATTCCCCTTGCATATAGATTCATCATCCATTGGCTCGATCATCGACTCGTGATTGATCGTAGAAGAAGCTTCTGATGATGATGATGATGGTGGTGATGATGTTGATGACGAAGACTTCTTCTATCCATTTGTTCATCATGGAGCAACAATGTCAAGACAAACATTTTTACAATAAGGTAGTGTATGTAAAGAATGTAATATATATAGAACATATAATATAATGACAATGTAATAAAAAGAGGGCATATATATAGAAAATGAGGGTAATTAATTTAATGTAATATAATGGAAGTTAAGCATGCAGTAAAAAAGAAAAATTGAGAAGCACGCATAGTAAGACATGAAGTTATAATAGATTGAGACTTTTCCAACAAACAAAGAGACCTCCCCACAAATCTTTATATTCTCCGCATGCAAAAAAAAAATTCACTTTTTTTCAAACTTTGGGTTAAAAACAAGGGGTTAGAAATTAATCTGAAAGGGATAGATAATGTGTACAATAGTGGAGATTTAGGGGAATTTTTTTTTAATTTTTTGGCCTTTTGTTTATATGGTGGTGCCCTAAAGCTGGAACTCTTCTTAAAAATAAAGGGACTTTATTTCAATTGGGGTTGTAAATCTTTTGATTCTTGCATAACTTTGCTTTTGGTCGGTTCATTTTTATAGAACTATACAAATTTGTTCAACTTTTCCCAAGTTAATGTTTGATTTCTTGGACCATTTTTTATTTTAATTATAAAAAAAAAAAAAAAAAAATCAAACAAATGTATCTTGAGTTTTGGTACAAAATTGTGAAGGATATGTTGATGAAATTAGTATTCGAATAATGTTTATTTTGCAACTTATGATGAGCTTAACATGAATTGAGATATTCTAGATTTCACTTGATTAGTATATAAAAGGGTACAAAACAAATAACAAACTCCTTCCAAAAAAAATAAAAAAAATAAATAAATTACATTTGATTTAAAACATAAAATTCTACTTCCTAATTGTTATGATCAAATGTACTTTCATCATTTTACAATTTATACATTATGGGGTATGATTTTATCTTTGGAAAAATTTCACTTTAATTAGAATTTGTAAAAATAAATAATTATTCCATCATAACATAAAACTTACCATAAGCAAAACAGAAATGGATTTAAATTAAATTACAATACTTCCTCCGTCCCTTAATTAGATTCCTACATCTTACATTTATTTCTCACATAATAGAGAGAAGTATGAATCTAATTAAGGGACGTAGGAAGTATAATTAATTGAAACTTCCTAATAACTTTTGCATTACTTTTTAATCCCATCTTAAACAGGGTGAATTGGTGATTAATTGATTGACAATGTAGTAGGGTTGTAGGGTAGATTATCGTGACAATGCATGTGTTGCACTAGTACCCGTCACATATTAAACTTAAGTCAATTGCTCATACTAAAGATAGTAAAGTACCTTTATTCGTTCATTAGGGTCAAAATTTGACATTATGACTTACAGCAAATGAGCAAATATTAGTATTAAAGCAACTTTAATCTCATTTTTAAAAAATAAAATAAATAAATAATGGTCCATTTATTAAGTACTAACGATATTAATCTAGCCTTTTTGTCAGCTAAAGCAAAGGGCAAAGATAATAATTAGCATATCATGCCTTCAGTTGACGACAATTAGCTAAAAGTTTAAATCTCATGATTTTTGAGTAAATTACAAAAATTGACTACGTTAATATAGGCCATAAAAGATGATTGCCGTTTAAAGTAGAGGCAAATTGAACAATGATAACTGTTTGCCTCCAAATTAATATGATTCGTCTAAAAAAGATTTAGATATGAATGTGATCAATATATATGTGTTTGGAGTTTCTATTGGAACTCCGTTTGACAAATTAAACTAATTACTGTATTACTTCCTCCAATTTTAATTTTATATTAATGTTATATAAGTCGTGTTGACTTTAGCAACTCTTTAATCATATGTAATCTAGTGGTTGTTAAGGGTTAAGAGTAAAGAGGTCCATACGATATGATTACAAGAAAGATGGGAAAAGAACTTGACCTAAACTTTTTATTAAATAAATAAATAAATGAGAAAAAAAAGTTTGAATGACCGTGTAATTGAAATTGAAAAAATGTTATGTGAAATTTCAAGATAAGTCGAAAACTTATACTTGTTCTGTAAAGCTTGATAAACTAACTACTGTTTACACGTAAGTTGTGAAAGGGCTTTGTTTGGTTATTACCGGTAGAAATTAAAGCTTAAACCTTTGTTTCTATAGAGATTCTTTATTTGTTTGTTTTTATGTTTACAATATTGTGTTTTTCTTTTTGAGATTATTAATGGGCAATTGATGGTAGCGTCTTAGCTTAGCTTAAACCATAGTAAAACAATGCAAGGTTAGTTGAAGAAGGCAAGACAACACAAGGCCAAGTGAAGCTAAGGCTTCTTAAGATAGACATGATACTGATTGGTGAGCCAAGGCATGAATTAGATGGTTATGGGCACTAGGTACGCCTCCCGGAGCCCTTTGTGAACCCAAAAAATCACCTCGATGTAAAATTTTGTTAAAATTTAAAGGCTATAATTCACGAAATTGAACATATTTCGTAGGTTTAGATTTTAAAGGTGAAAACTTTTAGAATGCAGAAATTGCATCCTAGGACTAAAAAATATTTTTTTGGAACCATATATGGCAACTAGTTAGTCACATAAAGGCTTGTGAAGGCTCTGAGTTAATGAAAGAATGCATGTGTAGTAGCTAGGTAAACTACCAAATCAATTATTTAAAGCAAGGTGAAAGATTAACGGCCTTACGGAGTGTCATTGGGTACATGGGAAGCACCTTGACCTCCTTCCTTTCCGGGTCTGATGGATTATTGTGAGATTGTTTCGGTGGTGAAAAATTATGCAAGTAGGCAAAAATTATCAATATTTTGAATACAATCAAATGAATCAGATAATATCATCCTCGTGACTTCAAAACGCTTCAAGTTAGTTCAAACCATACTAGGCCAAATCAAATCTTATTTTTCCATCTACGTCAGTATAACGTTAAATATGTTTAATTTCATAATAATAAAAACCTAAGATAACTTGATATTTGAAAATTGAATACATTCATATATACAAATTTGTTAACAATTTAGGTCCAATCTGAAAATCAGATCAGATGAACCTGAACTAGGCCTTAACCAGAGAGTCCAACTGATTGCAGCCCAAACAAACAAACAACCTAATTTGCATTTCTCAAAATTCCAGCGATTCAACTCAGAAAAACACCAACTCATAAACCCTGCTAAAACCTCCATTTTCCCTCTTTCCCAATTTATTTCCAGCCATGAACAGAGCTAAATTACTCCGTTTATCTTCTATACTCGTCAACTCGCTTTCTTCAACTCGGCAATCAGGACTTCACTCGCTCAGATTGAATCAGGTGACTCATTTTTCTCACTTTACTCAATCTCCTACTTTCTCTAGAAATCCACATTTTAGCAATATTTCCCCCAATTCCCATCAAAGTTTATACTTTTCTACAACCCCAGATTCTTTGATTAACCTAATTTTGTCCAAAGATTGGTCAGAAGAATTTGAGATTGAATTGGGAAAGTTAAACCCTAGAGTGAACCATGAATCTGTAGTTTATGTTTTGAAGAAATTGAATCGAAACCCTAAAAAGTCTTTAGATTTTTACAAATGGGTGCGTGATAAAAAAGGGTTTGAGCCCCGTTATGTTCCTAGTACTATATTGCTTAAGACTTTGGCTAGTAGAGAGTTTTTGAAGGATTTCTGGGATGTTGCCGAGGAAATGAAGGGAAAGGGGTTTTGCATTGATAAACATATTTATGGTGCTGTTAATGGGGCTTTAGAACGAGAAAATTTGGTTACTGAGGCAGGAGTATGGACCAAGTTTTACGAAAAGATGCGCGAGGATAATGGTGAGAATGATGCTGTTAAGGGTGTTGTTGAGGTAATTATGGGATCTGAGTGGAATGAGGGGGTGGAGAGTAAGTTAATGAAGCTTGGTTTTCCGTTAGCGGAGAATGTTGTGTTTAGAGTGGTATGGAATTTGAAGGAAGAACCATTGAAGGCTTTAAAGTTTTTTGAGTGGATTGCGAGTAGCCGGAAATTTGAGCATAATAGTGTAACATACAGCAGGATGGCCAGGGTTTTAGCTCTAGGTGGATTGATGGATGAGTTTTGGAACCTGGTGACGAAAATGAGAAGTAAGGGGTATGAGATAGATAATTATGTAAAGCTTGCAAGGTGTCTTGGTAAGGAACATGCTGTTAAGCTGTTTGAGCTCATGATGGATGGTCCATACAAGCCAACAGAGACCGAGTGTAATTGGCTTTTGAAGATGCTTGCCCATGAACTTGATCCAGATATTGAATTGGTAAATAGGGTTGTTAACAAGTATGTGGGAGCTGGAAACACCCATACTAAAGCTTTATACGACGGTTTGCATAGATCTTTATGTAAAGCTGGGCGATTTGATGAAGCAAAGAAGGTTGTGGAAGACATGAGGAATGCTGGTTTCAAGCCTGACAATATTACTTATAGCCAAGAAGTTTTTGGCCTCTGTAGATTGAAAAGGTTTGAAGATGCTGTTAAGGTGCTAAACCAAATGGAAGCTGAGGGATGTGTTCCCGATATAAAAACTTGGACCATATTGATCCAAGGTTATTGTATAGCAGGTCAATTGAATGAGGCATTGTCATGCTTTGCACAGATGCCCGAAAGAAACCTTGATCCTGATGCTGATTTGTTGGAGGTGCTGATAGATGGATTCCTCTCTCAAGATAAGTTGCTTGGTGCTTATAAATTTCTTGTTGAGATGGTCAACAAGGCTTGCATAAAACCTTGGCAGGCTACATATAAACTGATGATTGAGAAGCTAGCACAAGATGGTAAACTTAACGAAGCATTCAACCTTCTTAGTATGATGAAGCAGCAAGGATATCCTCCTTATCCTGAACCATTTACTGCGCATATCTCCAAATCTGGAACTGTGGAGGATGCTAAGAAGCTCTTAGAAGCAGTGCCTATGAATGGTCTTCCATCCACTGAAGCTTATTTAAATATCATTACATCTTTCTTTAACATAGGTAGACATTCTGAGGCCAAGGATCTGCTTTACAATAGCCCTTCTCATGTTCGCAGACATAGGATAATTAAAAAATTGTTTGGCTCCAAGCCTTCAATTAACTCTCCTAGTTAAGGCAGTGGGTATCAGAACAAAAACAGCTGTTCTTTGTGTAGAATGTACGTCTTCAACCACTAGTTATAAATGAGCCTTCTTGGAAGTCTAGTGACTGGATTTGGAGAGTGTTTAATTCCCTTTAGCATCATGCTGTATACTATCAAGCTGGAATTTGATGGTTTGATATATATCTCTGGAACTGAATAAAATGCTCCAGGATTCGCGTGGCCTAGATTGGATGACTTTAATGTCACTTTGGATGTCTTGTTGCCTTTTACATTGTTGTGGAAGAACATTTCCTTTTCCCATTATAGGTTTATAGCAGGAAGACTTGTCAATGAATGTTTACATGTTTGTACTGAAGAATTTAACAGATGAGTTTTTTTGCGCAATGAGCGATTTTTTCTGTATGAATACAGTTGACAGCTTCACAAGTTATAGGAGTATTAAGCACTGATTAATAGTCATGTTAGATTGCTAGTATGCTACTATTCTGTGCATTTTTAAACATTCCACTTGAAGCTCCTTTGCTTCATAGTTTCATATAATCAATGTATTTGAAAAACCTTTTCTTATACCATATAACCTGCCCACTGAAAAAACTGTAAAGGTTGGTTAAAGCGTAGTCAAGACTCAAGATCATTCTCCTTTAAAAATAAATAAATAAAGTCAACCAAATTAGAGATTCAAGTTATCAACAGAGGATCATGTGCACCAAACTTCCTAAACTCCTAATTTTCGTATGCATGATCCAATACTGTACAATTCTATCTGACCAATTCCTCACATTTTCAAAGAATAAGGTTAGGTGAGATTGTGAGAAACTACAGTGAACTTGAAAATTCAATAATAAGACCCCTACACCTCCAATCCCTCCTTGTTTTTTCACCTTGGTACAACATAAGATTCTGATACAATTAATAGTTGAATACTTCAAAATTCAGTCTGGTCTCTCAGAACACTCTCTTTTGGCTGTATCAATCATTGTGCACAAAAACTTGCTGGGATCACAGTTGAATGTATGGGCTGTAGCAGCATGCGTCAAAAATGGAAGCTTTCGTAACGATCTTCCACTCAATCCCTGTACAACAAGATAACTAAGTTATATACCTTTGGAAGAAAGTATATAAAATCAACCCATACAAAACATAGATAATATGTACTTACATCGCATGCTTCTGCAACTTCAAGCAATTGCCTAGACAATGTCAATGAAGCTCCAGCCTCTTGCATTTCACTTGACAGCAACTTTTCCTTGAGACTAGGAAAAGTCAGAATATCGAGGGGCTTATCCTACATTTACATAATAGTCAGAACACAAAAGTAAGATATAACTAGTTCATATAGTATGGAGGATGGAATGCAAATGGAATAAGGATGAAAGTAGAAGACAGAGAACACCTGAAATTTTTTTAGTATTCCACTTCTTAGAAGCTCTTGAACGCAGGATCTTAGTATTTCATATCGTGCTTGCAGGGTTGGAGGACCCACATAGGCTTTGATATCTGCCCTGTCAACAAAAGCAATATCTGCAAAGCCAGAAAGCAAATACACTGAACTGAATGTTCTAAAAATTTGAATGAGGGTAAAGAGAGCACAATTTACACACGGTACACCTAGTAGCCTAGAACACAATCAAACAAATAAGTATGGTGAGCCTTAGACCAAGAAAGAAGAAAGTTAAGCTTCTGAAATATATAGAATGTGTGCAGTTCCCTTGGAAATGAGACTGTCGACTGCAGTAAATGGCTCAAATGGTAAAATGTCATAAATAGAGGTCCAGATAAGGAGTTCAACTATATATATGATGTTTCTTGCGTGAAGTTCTCTGGAAATGCGTTTCCTGTCAAGTACATACATTTCTTCGTGGAATTTCATACCAACTTATTACCACCTATAAAGGATGTAATAAATGGTAAAGAAAATCACTGTAGAAAACCACATTCTTGAGAGTTGATGTACCTTACATGGAATGTACATATGAGACATTCCATAGATAATTAAAAACGATGTATTAAAATACCAATTTAAGACTTTAAAGTGTTACTATTTTTGAACTTGGCAGTGGTCTTTTCTTATATGTGCATTGAAGCACTTTCCAACCATTTCATGGTTTCTTCTCAGGCTTGTAAAACTGCAAAGGCATAGCATAAGATATCCGAAGAGATAGTTTCTTCCTAGATGCATGGGCCAAACTGGTACGCTCAGTTGTCCGTTTGGAAGCTTGATCAAAATACTTGTCCAAACATCATAACAGGGAGCCAGATGATTTTAGTATCTGATTTTAAGATACTGGAATATATTCTAGAAGCCATCCCCAAGAACAAAAACAAGACACAGACTCTGAACTACAGTATATGCGTACCTATAGCTGCTGTAATATTGGATGTTGTCATAATTATAACATTTGGCGAGCTTTTCAATTTGTCCAACTGAGTAAGTAGAGCATTCACAACCTAAGACGCCATTCATTTATGGATTTCCAGGGCAGTCAATTAGACAATTTAAATCATTCTAAGATGAAGTTCCAAATTTTGAAAAAAAAAAAAAAGTAAATAAAAATTGAGCAGCAAAATGCAAGATACCCTAATAGAATCAGAGGGCTCAGAACCAGACAAGGCAGCATTTCTAGCAGCTGCAAGACTTTCAACTTCATCTGCAACATCAGGAAAACAGATCAATATAAACTGATTTGATCTGTTTATTTTATTTCTCTCCTTTTGCCTTCTTTATTTTATTTCATTAGTGGAAAACCAACACTCACCAATTAAAACAAACACTAGATTGCTTTCATCCTCAACCATTTCTTGAATACTTTGAAACAGCTTTGCAACCTATCATAAGTAGACATCTCAGTCAGTATTATATGCCAAAAAATAAACCAGTATTTTAAACAGCATACAAAAAAAAAAAAAAAAAAAACCATGTAAAACTGTCACAATAACTGAAGCTGAACCAGTACATGTCAATCAGATAGAATGGAAGTAAGTTGCATTTGAAATTAAAATCTATGAAGGCAATGAGGCAATCTTCTACAAGCATAATAGAATTTTTTAAGAGCTGAAAGAAATGAGTAATTGGATAAGATCACGCTTTCTGAAAGCACATACCAATTTGCCACTTTCTGAAAACCATTTGCTGAACAAAGAATGAGCATTAACTTCAATCAACTGGGACTGTGGATATCTGATTTTGTATGAAGAGAAATTATTAGGTAAAGAAACTTGATGTTAAGTCAAGTAATATAGTTAGCATAACACATCCAAACCTGGAACTGAATCGTATTGATAGTTTCTGAGCCAATGCTTTACATAATGATGTTTTACCAGTACCTGGAGGTCCATGTAGAAGAATGATTCTGCATAGAAAACGATACTAAAGACTCAACAGAAGAAAAAAAAGGAAGTCAAATAGAGCTGTTTCACCTAGCTATCTCAGATAGCTCTAACAGTGTGTTAGGATAGAATAATATGGAAAAAAAGGGTTGAAAGTGAAATTGAGGTAATCATCTTCCTCAATGAATTAGGGGGTGAAGGAAGGGAGGGCATGGGAACGGGAGGGATCCATTTTCCTTCTCCTTTAATGAAACAAATCTTTTTAATGTAGGAAAGAATGGGAAGGAACATGAAAGGTCACCTCTTCCCCCTTCTCATCTTCCTCTCTTATTCCTCTCCTTCCTTTTACTTCCCTAATTCCTATCCAAATAAAAGGTAAGCTGCAAAATTTAAAATTTGGCCTCTAACCACAATGGAGCTTTAAAATTTAAATCATGGTCAAGGTATACACAGGACTATTGTGCTAGTAATAATACATGACATCCATGTTGATATTATCAAAGCATAATACAGAAATGTAATTCCAGCTCAAAAAAATATGAAGTGAATGTAGTTTAAAAGTATTGTTTCAGGACAATTGACATCAATACAAGTGGAAGTTGGAATTATAGGTTTTAACAGATGAGTGACTTCTGAAGCACAAGTGCATTTTCTTGAGACTATGCCTTATCTTTAAAGCTTATGATAAACCAATAATAATAAAGGACAGGTAATACAAGTTCAAGCATATTGGGCCTACTTTCTATAGCATACAGAGAACTTCTTCTCTTCTGGATTTTCTAAGAATAAGTAATACTTTGTAAGTGTTGTATCACCAATCTGAAGAACGCACTTTTCAGTATTTGACACACATTTAGTTCATTGCACTTCGCAAGCCTGTATAGTTGCCAAATTAGTTCAGTGATTAAGATATACCTGCTTAAGTATCGAGTCATGGACACTGAACTCCGTAACTTGAATGTTAGCAAATGAGCTCACTTATAAGCAGTTATTGCAAGCTTATAACTTAAGCAAATTAGCAATAAGAAGCAGAGCATCATTTTACTATGGTGCCTCCTGGCTGGTGAAAAGACTGACCATTGATGGAAGTTTAAGCAAGTTAGTGTTGTCAGTTCTGGGAGCAACTGACCAGGGGAGTAACTACAACTAGAGAACCTATCGTCTTTTCTTTTAGAAAGAGTGTAATTTAAACTTTTTCTGATGATAATTTATTACCTTATCTCAAGGACTATCACTGCTTTCAACAGGAACAGCTCTCAAAAATCCAATATAATGATCGGGGGGGGGGGGGGGTTTAAAAAAAAGTATCCTTTTTTTTGGTGATCTGATAAAGAGAGTATCTGGAAGTAGTGTGAAACAGAAAACAAAAGCCTATTAACGCATTCAACAGGGAATAGCAGATTGCAGACAATGTATGAAAATGAATATATATGGAATAACTTGATGGGATTTATGCTACATTACCGATTCCAAGACACAAGGAATGGATTAACACCCTTTTCACTAAAAAGCAATGCACTCGCTGCATACCGCAATAATCTTTCCTTTAGTCCAGATTCGAAGATCAAGCTGCAGATGCAACAGTCATATTGTTATAATTCATTTAAAAAAAAAATTTAAAAAAAAAAAAAAAAAAAAAAATCAAGGGGGGAAAAGACCTACACACCTTTCCCACATTCCATCAAACTCCTTAGCTGGAAGAGCCCATTCATTAAAACTGGAATGTTGACCATCTCCTCCTAATTCCTCGCAAGGCCCTTCCTCACTAAGCTAGTAAAAACACAAGGTCACATATCAAAACAGAATCATCAATCTATAAGAATCAGTTAGAATAGATTCAATAGAAGCATATAAACATGTAAGACTAGGCCAGCTAAGTATAACTATAAAGCAAGTACCTGATACACATGCACAAGTGGCTTGACCTGCCAGAATAAAAGAACTTCACCTTTCTTCACCCATTCATCTACAAGACAAGGAAAAACATCTAATTTATCAGAATTATCAACTAAGTTGAGGCAACACAATATATATTTCAAAAGAAGCTTACCTGTATCGCATATACATATACTTTGCACATTTTCTAATAGATATTGGTCATTGTTAGGTACAGGAACAGGACCATTGCTATAACTCAAACTTCTTGTCTCTAGCATTCTGAAAATAAACAGAATAAAAAATATCAAGAACAAGCTTAAGAAACTCCCTCACAAGAATTTGGAAGTTTTAAAATATGAAGGTCAGTTATTCAGCATAGGGTTTTCTATGATCTTTTCCCAAATTAAAAAATAAGAATGTCTAATACTATTAGAAGAAAACTGCTCCATATGTCTAAAAATAATAGCAACATAACATACTATTTCGAGAAAAGCATTGTGGGATATATGGTCCAACTATTTTATCAGGTCTTTAGTAATATTGATACAAGTGTGATGTGTCTGATGATGAGATGTTGGCATGTTGGGATAATGTGACTCTTAATCCTAGACAAAGGGAGTAAGTCCATTTTGTCTAGAACCAGTGTATTGTCTATTACAGTAATTAAATAGCTAAATGTCCTTGGGGGGGTTTTCTAGTAAAAGAATTTCATTATGGGATACCAAACCAGAAGTTAGAAAATGTTTACTAAGTATAGCTGTTCCCTTTCATAGCCTCCCTCCCCTGTCACTCAATCATTTGTGTCAAAAAGAAACTAGATACATATTTACATCAATCCATACATGCATAAATAAAAAGCCAGGGCAACATATTGTATTTTCAAGTTATTGTCGAATATGTAGACGACCACACAGGTAATCCTGGAAGGTGGTGAGTCACGAACCTGCTACTCAACCACGGACACAAGTCTGGCCCATGGACACATATTATGCGCCTACAAATTTTAGATTAGAAGTTCTTCGTGTTGGCATCGTATTCATACTTGTACCATTGTCTATCTCAAGGCAACATAGGCAATCGGCTATAGGCAAAACCAATTCCCTTTCAAACTCATACAATATATAGCACAATGCACCTAAAACATCGCAATCACTCGATACACAAGACTGGCAACAAGCTAAGAACAACTAAATGATCAGCTAGAAACAAATATTCAATCAACAAGCAAATAAAATGCTACTTCTGACAAACACAATCATTTATACCTTTCAAACATACGAGTATGACCACTTAAAAACTGATTGAACTTCTAAACAAATCAAAAATTACCTTTCAACGCAAGTTCGGACATCATCCGATCGAGCTGTACTGGAGGGTTTCAAACATACTTCAACTGAAATTAGGGCAAAAATTGGGGGAAAATTTCAAACTTTTATAAATCAAAATTGGAGCTTAGAAAAACATAAAATTAGCAAAAATTAACATATGAGAGAGAGAGAGAGAGGGGACCTGAAACGAGGAATTTGTCGTCGGCAATTGCAGGAGAAGCAGCTGATTCTGAAACAACGGGAGGAGTTGGAGTAGATTGTTCTGGAATCATCGGAGAACCAACATTTGACTCCAAAACGACGCCGTTTTCGATTCTGATGGCTTCTGCTTCAGGTTCAGTAGATTCAGGTTTAGGAATTGAAATCTCCATTGGAGAGCTCATTTTCTTGAAATTAGGGTTTCTGCAACGAGTTGATTTTGATTGATGAAGACAACGAAATTGAATTCTACGTGATGATGCAGAGTATAAAAGAGAGAGAAATGAGTGAAATCGAATGAAAAGGGATGAACAATTGATTAAAAATTGATGATTTTTGGAAGAAGCCCTAGAACGGCATTTTAGGGGATTCTTTGCTTTTGAATTTGAGCGGGAATTCATTAGGGTGGGATTATTGAGTTTATCCTTTGTTACACTTTATCCTACTCCCTCTATTTTTAAATACTTGCTCTATTTTTCATTTTCAACCATTTTTAATTATTTGCTTCATTTTTTTTATTTTAAAAAAAAAAACTCATATGATGAGCTTAATTTAAAAGAGCTTTTTAGGTAAAAAAAAACTTTTTTAATAACTTGTTTACTAAACACCCAAATTAACTTTTTAAAATTATCAAACCTTTAATAGGCTCCAATAAGCTAAGAGCGCTAAGTGCCCTCCAAAAAGTTCTTAGCCTATACGATAACAATAATACGAAGGAAGTTCTTATATAATGTCACATTAGTTTTCCAATCATTGCAAGTACTCGTATTTGTTTAACATTACAAGACTATCTTTTATCCACAATTTATCCTTACACTCATCCAAAATAAAAACCTACCTAAATTCTCCCTCTTACAAAATTTGTTTGTATATGTGATAATTGAATGAAATACTCCAAGTAGTAAAACTAATGTGTCAAAAATTTTTGAGCACCAATATAATAGTAAAACTCTATGTGAATATAGGAGGAAAAAAAGATTAGGAAGTTACCATTCCAATATTTCTTAGCTAGAAAGTAATTTTAATGCTACACACACAAACATTGTACTAGTGTAATCAAATTTGTACCATGTAATTATATTTGATCTAATGCTAAGATTTGTATTTCACATTTTTAAGGACTAAATTCTTCGAGACACATTTTGTGAGCGAGAATTTATTTACCTCCTTGGCTTCGTTTCTCCTAGAAGTGATCATTGGACGAGTCAGGCCGGCTAAAAAATAGCATGTTTATCGGGTCGAGTCAGATCGGTCCAAGCTTCGGGCCAAAAATCATGTGCCCAAACCCGCCTAAAATGGTCAGATCATGCGGGCTTTTCGGGTTAGGCAAAAAATAATCAACTAAAATTACATTAAAAAAAAAAAAATCCGAAGTCTCGCCCTAATTCCGGCCAGGCTGACTTTGATCAGCTCTTCTCCCTCCTCCTATACTCTTAATGAATCGTGTCTGCTAAGTTGAGTAGTTGACCCGTGTAAAGATTTAAACCATTAAGACACCTCTCCTTACCTAGTTACCTACTAATCTACGAGAAGAAATTGAAGGTGGTCCATCCTCAATGACATTCACTCTTTTTTATACCAAGTGCTAGTTAGTACACCTAACACATCTTGAAGCACCGGCATCTCACATTTCTCATCCACCTTATACCGCTCAAACCTTACATCTAGTCTAGTTGCCAAATTAAACAAAATCACCACCATTATTTACTGTCCCCAATTCATTCAATGGTTCCAACTTCCAAGCTTCAATTAGAATAAATTAGAATAATTCATTAAAATTTCTCCATCAAATACCCATGTCAAATGTCATACACTCATTCTTTTTTAGATAACTAAAATGAGAGGCTATTATTGGCCCAAAGATTATATCATGGTCCCCTTACACTACCCTTTCCTAGTGAAACCAACAAGGCCCAAAAACCAAACACCATGAAACGAAATATTAAACGAGATGATAAAAATAAGACTCAACAAATGGAACTTGAAATCATCAAAGCTGTAGCTCAAGCTTGGCATAGTCACTCCAACAATGCTAGGGAAGCAACGTGCGAGTTCGATGCTCGAAGGCGTAACTTTCGTAACACGCCTTCGAGGTTTAAACTCGAGGTCGAAGCTTTCAACAAGTTGAAGGTGGATGAAGAGGCTAGTAAAGGGATATGGAATTTTAACCACTCTCTTTGGGATCCCTTTGAAATTGTGGCTGTATCCAAAAAGTTGGAAACCGGGTTAGTTTTGAATTATGATTTTGATGATTTGCAAAAGTTAAATGAGCAATTAAGGGTGTTTAAGAGAAGAAAAGAGAGTAAGAATAGCCTTAGGAATTTGTTCAATGTAATGTCTTCTAGGAGATTTAATGGTAAAACTCAAATTTCTGATTAATCAAATACTTTCAACTAGTTAATTTCGGAGTTTCTTAATATGTACTCCAAATTAATACTTTTATGATACTTTGTAATTATAATTTCTGATACTTTGATGATCGAAATCTCTAGTGTTTTCGGTTGTTCTTGTGATGTTATTGTATGAATCATATGATCAACGTAACTCCACATTGAACTAAATTTTGCTTCCTTTTGTCGTACTTTTGCCACCAAATTTGTAACACAACAATTCAAATATAGTCCATTCAAAAACTGCAATGTACAATTTGATCCTCTAAAAGATCTAATATGATAAATTGATGATAAGTGCAAATTGTATGAGCAGATCACTAAAATCGTTGCGAATATAGATGATAAGTGCAAATTGTATGAGCAGATCACTAAAATCATTGCGAATATTGGGGTAAATTTCATCTACATATACTATGACGGGTAACATTAATTTGTACTGATATAGTGATATGTTGGCGCGTAGGCTTGATACCACACCTAACATTTACGGAGTAATAATTGATTTGAGGTAGTCAACTAAATTAGTTCCTGGATTCTTATGATTAAAAAATTCTTCCATGAAATTTGTAAATATTATTATAAGTGATATGGATTATATAACTTACATTTGTTTCAAAAAAAAAAATATATAACTTACATAATGATTTTAACTCTTTAAGAGAGCACTAAGAGTTTATGATTCTTGAAGATAAGTTGAGAGAAATCTTTCATCTTTTGATTTGGCTTTTTATATCAACTTGAGTGTTGGACCATAACATATCATATATGCAAGCTAAGTTACATCATTTTATTAAGGAAGAAAAGAAATTTATTAAATAACAATAAGGCTTCATTCTAAAACAATAATTAATAATAGGTGGACTATCTCACTCCATTTGATAATAAGGCTTCTCTCATGTATTAAGCTATATTAACGGATAGCTCATTTGCGAGTTCTCTTCTTAGCACACATACGCAAAGGTACATAATTAGGCGTAAATGAGGAAACTAACAAAAGTGAAAGTATGCACTTCATCAATTATAGGGCAAATGTCGTCATTTGATGCTTTTTTTTACTATACCATGAAAATTGTTATTAGTGTTTTTCTTGTATGCCAATGTTGGAAAGGTATATATAACTAATAACATATACTATATGCAAAGCCAATATTCTTGCATAGAACAAATTCTTCTAAAAGCACATAAAAAATGCTTTGAATTACTTTTTTTCCTTCACGCATCACGTCTTGTTGACGGAAACCTACAAATAAAGAGATACTCCGTATATGTATGTAGTTAATTGCTTAATTAGACAACCACACAGACACACAGTACACAACCATATACGAAGTATTTAATTTGATATTGACAGTGAGGAATAGCTCCAGATGATCTTGTAATCGATTCTCACCCCCTTGTGGCTCTCTAAACTCCAGGTGATATTCCAGGTGATCTTGTAATCGATTCTCACCCCCTTTGTGGCTCTCTAAACACACACACACACACACACACATACACACACACACACACACACACACACACACACACACACACACACAAATCTTTAATTTGATAAGGGTATTATGTGATAACCAGGTGCGTGGCATCTCTCACCTGTGTGTTGATCGATCTTTTTAACTCTTAACAATAATATTGCTACAGTCTATGGACAAATATGCATATTCTTATAATAAAGCATGAAAATTGAAAAATAGCAACACGAAATAATACATACGAAGTATATATTTACTACTTCCTCAGTCCATAAGAAGCAAAAGATAGACATAAAATTATTTATTTGGACTGCTAGCTACATGTACACACATAATTTACCAATATTGTCACATCTCACATGCATTATGCAATATGCATACATTTATAGTATTGTACTAATATAAGCCATTTAGCTTAGACAACAATGATATAGTGTATACTTAGTAGTATATATATAAATTATAATGCAATAATTATGCGTACAACCATAATTGTAAATGATGCAGTAATAATACATAATAGCATAGAGATCGAGTATGTAGTATCTTGGTCACATAGTAAAAGTATTCCACCGGCGAATCACAAAGCCCCTATGATTGGCCTTGATGAAGTTATCAGCTTCATCATCAACACTCATTATAGCACCCCCTTTCTCCTTGGGTGGCTTGACCCCCCTTCTCTTATTACCATCCACCACCGGCGGTTCAACAGAATCCACAAAACGAACCCTTTGAGGCCGAGCATGACTCTCTGGCACGTGGTTGTGGTGGTGCTCGATATGAATTGTTCCATCCGTGTCTTGATCATAATCCGATCCAATGTCATTCCTATAGGCCTCATCATTATTGACACTAGGATAACGAGGGACGTTATCGAGATTGGAAATATAGTCAAGGTAGTCACCACTACTACTATAGGTGGTGTCCTTGCTATAGGAGGGTTGTATGTAACGTTGTTTTTGTGTATATCGGAAGGCCATTTTTGCTGAAAACACCCTCCCTTAGAGTGTATTATCTATTATATATTGTAACAAGTCTTGATGAAAGGAAATTAAAGCAAGGTTTTTGTAAGCAATTGGAAAGAATAATCACTTTAATTTATTATTCTTTGTGATAAGGTGAAAAAAAGTAATGCACCCTATGCCATTTTTCTATACCCTAATAACCCAATAATAGGCATCAACGATATCAATCAATCAAGAATATTACACAGAAGAGCAAGCATAGATACACCGGTGACCCTTATTCGTCTCTCCAATACAAAATATCTCACACTTGATTTTTATGGTCAAAGTGTCATACTATATCAAGTTTGACCATTAATTTTCATCAACTCAATATGCCAAAGTAGGGATAAAAACTTACACTATCATGAAATTGAAACATATTTATAAAGAAAAATGTTAAGCTTAGCTCTAAGAAAGACTACAAATTAATAACAAATAAATAAAGTATTAATTATATTATTGAGGCCGTGAGGTGTTTTTGTTATAAATTCTCAAATTTATACTCAATCTATTTCATATTGCTAAATCTTCCTACTTTATTGACCAATTTTATTTCATAAAGAAATTAAAGTAGAAACAATATTTATGAAAGGACTTGTCTGGAAAGGATATATATGTTCGCTATTTTGTTTGAAAGGACCTTATTCGTTTAAAATGGTATAAAAGGACCTTATAAATTTATTTTGTTGTTTGGGGACCTTGAGGTCGGAATCAGACCATAATTGACTTTTTTGTCCGATGTTGACCTCTCACGTAACCTTAAAAAATGAACCAATTTTCTCTTTTTCCACGATTTCCCTCCTATACCTCCTCTCTTCTAATCCCCAAATGACACAAATTAAAATAAGAGAATTTGAGGAAAATCATGGAAAAAAGAAGAAAATAGGTCATTTTTTAAGGTCATATAAGAGGTCAATGTCGGAAAAAAAAAAGTCAATTATTGACGGATTTCGACCTCAAGGTCCTCCCAAACAACAAAATGAACTTTTAGACCACTTTAAACATATAAGGTCCTTCCAAATAAAATAGTTAACATATATATGTCCCTTCTAGACAAATTTTCCTTTATGAAATGCATATTAAGAATATTTATACTCCATATATGCTTATATATAAGCCTATAATAGCTACTGATAAGTTTCATTTTCACATCATGGCTTGACATTTTAACCCAAATTTACAGTCATAGTTAACATCAAGGTCATATGTAATCAATTACGGAGTATATTAGATAGAGGAACATAGTACATACTGTTATACACCATTTAATTTGAAAGATTCCCAAGTTTTTTTTTTCTTTTTTTTTTTTCTTATTTCTTTTTCTTGGAGGTCCTGGAGGATAAGTATTCTCGAAGACAAGAGACCCAATCTTTTCTTTTGGCAACGCCCATAGAATATATATTCCCAAATGGCCAAATCATACAAGTTTCCAATATCTGATTCTTATGAAGGAAATACGATCGTAACGATGTAGACACCTAAAATAACACGTTTCACGTAGGCGCATTTCGAACAACGTCGTTGACAAGTTAATGTTGTCATTAAATTGAATTCAAAACAACACGATTTGATTTGACTACATGTGACAAATTAAAAGATATCTCAAGTAAAGGAAATTATTTGGAATAATATTTTCTAACTTTTCCAAAATAAATTAAGAATATTTAAGTCGTTTATAACTATTAGTACTATCCCATTAAATTCATCTATACAGCCCAAAGAACATATTCAACCAATATAGGCTATATAGCGTACATAAATATTGTTAGAAACTTTTATAAAATGATCGAATAGAAAAGGCAATTAAAATTGAGTGTTAGTAAATCATAAGAGTCTTTATGTATGATACAATCGAATATATAATGGATTAAACTAAGGAAGATATAATGAAGTCCGTTGATTTTGATTCTCTTGAGTTTCACATAATATACTACCTCATCTAAACTTTACTTTAGCAATTAGCCTCATAATTTGTATAGTTGTACATAAAAGAAGCTAATTGACTTTTTTTTACATAATGAGACCCTACTTGGACTTAATTGAGTATTGAGTACGGAGCACCTAGTCAAAACAATGTGCTCATCATTTTTGAACAAGGAAAAATAATTATCTTATTTATTCAAGATTGTGAGAAGTGACAAAATCATGATCTTATTTTATTTTCTTGTGTCGGAGCTCTAAGCTCTTGCAAATTTGCAATTATCAATTGTTTACTCAGTAGTCCGTACGATTCAGGGTTACTAAACTACTACAGTACTCCGACGTACAATTCATTTTTGTTTTGAAAAATTCGAGTCAAAAATTACTTGTACAATTCAATAAATAAGAGTGGACCATTATTTTGGCAGATAATGATGCAAAGGATTAGATTTATGTCCGTATCAGACTAGCATCTCTTACATGTAAATTTTTTTTTGAATAGCAAAAATATTTCATTATTTAAAAGTCATACGACATCTACAATAAAGATTCGACGTTAACAAATACATAAGATATTGAATCAAATAGAATTTTCCTTCATAAAAACTACAATCGTCGAGTAGATCTTGCACTGCGGAGCTTCTCCCGCTTATATCGCTGAAAATTACAGCCTTATTGGAGAGACAATCTAACGATCCTTTGTAGCCCTGAGGATGTTTTCCTTCTGATTCATCTATTCGTATTCGAAAACTTGATAACTTTTTCACCAACGAAATAATTTTACGACAATCCATTAGATCTGCTACCATGAATTCCAAACTAAGAAATTTCTCCCTCGAAAAGAGGAGATAAACCTTGTCTTTCGAAGGAGGTCGAAAAACCCTTGTCTTTCGAAGGAGATCAGAAACCCTTTTTTTCGAGGGAGAAAAGTTCCTCCCAAAAGGAGGAAGCATTATTATAAACCTAAAAAAAACAATAAAGAAACAAGGATTGGGGCTTTCCACCGATTAAAATCGATGGAAGCCCTTTCAAAATTCAACAATGGAGGCTAGAGTTTTGGAGAGAGAAAGGGGGAGAGAGATCTACTTATGTACTTTGTATTTGCTCCTTACATGTAAATTATAGTCCGATTATTATGTTATAAAAATAACCCTTAGAGATAGGAATAGGATAAAAGAAATCCGAAAAGAGCCAAAACTCACCCCTAAGAACAATTATTGGTCGAGTACTTGTGAGTCGGAAACTTAAGGTCACAAGTTCAAATCATATTGTAATTATATTTAACGGCTTTGACGTTTAACATGCACTCACCAAACCAATAAGACAGACCTATCAACATAACATTATGGCATTATCTATCTTTATCTTCTTCTATTTCTATTATGCACGACTGCACTGTGTACATTATTCAGCTTATACCAAACTTATTTGAATATTTTATGGCTGTCATTCCTGTCAGTTGGTCCATATTAATTATGGATGTAATCTATGCATAAGCCACTTAGATCAAGGACAATATGATATCTGTTTCAGCAGATTAATAGTTGCTCGTGCTCGGAACTTTGGGGCACCAGGCACTTCTCTCGCGTTGTATTGGAAATGTTAGCAACTCAGACTCGGATGCACTTGACCTGAATTTGTGCTGGTTCTAGGAATTAGTTTCTGCCCGAATTTCTTTATTCAGTGCTTAAACCAAATTATGTGATTATACCAAGCAGCACTAAACAGCAGAAAGCGAGGAAGCAATTTTAGACATGTACTATTTCATCAGAATGGGTCTATTATAAGTTACAAATTACAACAGATTGTTTGCTAAATTGCTAAACTATGCTACATAGCACTTTCTGAGCAGCCCCCTTTTTCGGTAGTTTAGAAAGGTGTTTTCTTCTAACAGTCTAGGCTAGTAACATTCGCCACCAAAGCAAAAGAAAAACCCTCGAGGCTTGTCTTGCATGGATTCCCTTGGTGTTTCACCTGTGCTATCCTTTTTAGCCATCAAAGAGCTTGTGCCTGGAGATTCTGGAGGTAGAATTGAATTCTCTCTGGTAAATATCCGAGGTGGGATTGCTGGTCCGAGAGGTGCAATGGTAGAGAGATAATGAAGGAGCATTTGGATTATTTGCGTGAAATTGGGTCGGGCTTCTGGATCTTCATTCCAGCATGAGGTTAGAATTAGAGCTACATCTTCAGGGAGGTCATCTGCACTAGGCCTCACATTCTGGGAAAAAGGATGAAAACCACCAAATCAACAGCATTTCATCATAGACAACACTAGTTCAAATGCAAAAATACAAATCCACAAAGGCTACGACGCTACAAGTCTCCTAGATTGTAGACTTTGACAAAAAAGTTTATTCTTCGTGGCATTAAAGACAAAGGGAAAGGAAACATGAAGCCACCCGATAGTGATGGTTCTAAAATTGGGAGCCGCCCTATTGACTTAGTTACTACTTTGTATATACTTATAAAAACCTTGGTCATCTTAAATATCCCAAGATAACCACATGATGCTTCCCTATCAAATTATCAATCTATCATCTTTCAGTACAATACACAATACAAAAAAGAGGGAGAGCTTCCTTCCAAAGTCTCTCTTTCAGGAAAAGACTTATGTTAAGAGGTATACAGGTTAAAGATATTTTGCCCTCTCTTGCAACTTATACTTTGTCGATTTCACTTGATAATACCTTACGCTTTATCAAGTGGCAGTACTGTACAACTTATAATTTTAGGTGATGAAAAAAACTTTAGAGTTTAGACTCTCTACTCTTGTCCACTCCTCTCCAACATCACCTTATGGAGTGCGACAAATAACTAGATTCCACAATACACCTTCAGAAATGTTTAATACTCTACTCCACAAACTCCACACTCTTGACACTTCATTTTGGGTCAAAAAATGCTAAATTTGCCTTAAAATTTCAAGTACGAATATGACTTTTTAAAATAGGCTAATGAGCATAGGTTAAGCAAGTCGAGCAAATTTTACCTTGAAAGCAGCAGCATATGCTGCCTGTAAGTTTGACATGCCTTCAAAGGGCAGCTTGTTGTGCATCAGCTCCCACAAGACAATTGCAAAACTATAGGCATCAACTTTGTGGTTGTAATGTTTCTTTTCTCCTTGCCTCAGAGTAACAGTACTGTACAACTGTCATGAAAAAAAAAGATATTATGCACTAGGAAATCTTCATCATTGCCAACTAGCTACACTACACACAATCTTCCCACCTCTCTCTCTCTCTCCCTCTCTCTCTTGTGCCTCTCCCCTCCCACTACACACCCTAATTTTCTTCATCTTCATAATATCTAAAGCTCCCACCATCCCTGTATATAGACTATGTTTGACTTGGAGTCATGTTTAAATAATTGACTTAATTTCAATAAGATACGACTTCTAACATAATACATTTATAAAGTGGCCTATTTTTTGCGGATGTAATATTAAGACATGTAAGATATAATTTTAGGATGGAGGAAGTGATCTATATAAAATCAGGTTGTTATCCAGAAAAATTTAAGAGTTGTCTTAGTAAGGAACCTCGGGGGCCATCCATCGATAAGTTCCCGTTTCAGCGGTCATCATCTCTGTTAAAGTCTCTTCTCTCGCTAAACCAAAGTCTGCAAGTTTTACTGTTTTGTGATCTGCAGTCAATAGTAGATTCTCTGCAAAAGATAACAAGAATTGTTATCAATAATTCATATGATCACAAACTATAACTTCAAGTCTGTATCATGTCCTGAAAGCCACAGCTATCACTACTCAAGCCTTTAAGCAAGTAACAGTCAACATTACCCCCCCCCCCCCCCCAAAAAAAAAAAAAAAAAAAAAAAAAATTCCACCCTCGAAAATACTACAGGTCCAGTACACCTTGTTAATAAATTATCAAGTTCTAACCAAAAGTCCAAATCCACATTATTATTTCTGTTTGATGATTCTTTACCAAAATTCCTGAACAATGGAATCACATGACACTACACACTAGCACTAAAATATGAATTGAACTCTAACATAATGCTAAAAGCTGCACAAAGTTTGTTATCATCGGTCAGGAAATGGTAATCACCCGGAGAGGTTTGGAAATCACATCAAATAGTTACATTAACTAGAAGATTTTTGCAAAATTTTCCATCAGAAATTATGAGTTCGAGGTATACACCATACCATACAAGAAAATGAAATTAATCTACCCAAGTTCAGCAGCCAGAGAAACAAGACAGAAATGGAAACACTTGCTTATTTTATGGCTAAGGAAGCCCATGTCCTCAGTTCCTCACCCTTTATTGACCATCCCCAAAAATAAATTCCAGATAAACCCATAAATTCAGACATTATAAGAATAGTCACAAGATCAGCCAAGTATAATAGTAGAAGAAAAGCACAAAGAAAGATACGCTTCAGTGGTGCAAATTCAGTTCTTTTCACATGCTCAAACACTCTCAGGCTCTCAGCATAGGTGAACATTATACAAAAGAGCCGAAACAATTTTGTGGTCTATGTGGTTCGGACTTAGATGCCACTCTTTAGCTTTATGCCATGCCATATAAGTGTCAGAATGTTTGGCGCGATAAGATTTGGATGATTAGTGGCATACATGTTATAGATCGTTACCAGTTCAGAATAAATGCCTTAGTGCATCAATGACACAATGACACTTATTGACTCATGGCATGGGTCCACAAATACTCTGACAACCAACAACATCAGAGTGATCAGCAGAACAATGCAGACAGCCTATATGATTTAGCTGCTATCTAGAGCATCTACTACACATGATGATCATATGGACAAAACAGAAATGTGGCTCTAAGTTCAAATGATACCTGGTTTTAAATCCCGGTGTATGATCCCATGAGCATGAAGGCATTCCATTGCACGAGCAATATCAATGGCAAACCCTATAGCAACTCGTCTATCCAAACACTTTGGCCGCATATTGAACAGGTATTTACGCAATGTTCCGCCCAACAAAAGCTCGGTAACAATTACCATGACTGGTTCTTTGCAGGCACCGATAAACTGTGAGCACATATAGCTAAATTGAAGTCAATAGGCAGAATTCAACAATAATTAACCTTAAAAATTATGCATAGCTTGATGATAGCAATGAGGGCTGTGGAATTAAAGTACCTCCACCAAATTTTTGTGCTGAACTCTAGATAACATAGCTACTTCTCTCGCAAACCGCCCCTCTCGCTTGACAATCTCCTCTGGCGTATCGCCTCTATGGACAATCTTGATAGCAACATTGTGATTCTTATACCTGAAGAACATTATCCCATATCAAGGAAGGAAAAGAATGACTATTAACACCCTCAATCTAACAACCTACATTACTCTCAAACCTTTTATCCCATCAACTTCATAACAATGTATCAAATTTGCAAAGAAATGTGATTACCTTATTCAATACTGTATTAAACTATACTCACATTTTTCATAAATCATCAAACTCAAAGATACAATCATCAACCTCAACTTATTCCCTAAATTACTACACCATATTGTAATTTCATTTATAAGCAATTCTTCTACAAAGTAAAGATACCATATGTAAAATTAAAAACAAAGAATTATCAGATCTTACAAAAATTAATCTACAGAAGTTTAACCACATAAACATTAGTTTATCAACCACCCTCACCAAAGGCCACCAACGCCACCGCTAATGGCGGTGGTGAGGGTGGTTGATGATCCGGCAATCCAACAGCACAAAAAAAACCTACTTTGATCCAAACAAGTTACAGAAATTTGTAAACTTACTTTCCCTCATAAACTTTAGCATGAGCTCCTTCACCAATTTTAGGTCCAACAAACAGCTGATTTGGATCAACCAACCATTTAGAATCTAAATGAAACTCATCAACTGAGTAAAACCCATCTCCAGAATCCATTTTTCCCCAAATAAATTGAACCAAACAATTAGCTAGAATAAACCCAGAATTTCTTCCAAATGATCAATCAATAAGAACAACAATCATCAAAAAAAGATATGCTCTGCTAAAACCCCAGCTTTCTGCTCATTTCTGCTGCTGCAACAACTACTTGGTGGCAGCTTCTCAACAACACCCACATCTCAAATTACAAGATATGGATAGAAGAAGCTACAAATTGCAAAACCCAACAAAATTCATTGAAATTTGAGCCCAAATTGCCAAAAAAATCCCCCAGTTTAGGGGACATACACAAAGAAAGAGAACAACAACCAATCAAACAAGCTAAACTTCAAAAAAAAATTGGATTTTTAAACAATTCAGCAAAAACCCAGCTAAAAAAAACAAACTTTGTAAGCTAGTACTAATTAATGAGTAGTGATTATAATAGGGTGAAAGATGATTAGAAAAATGTAAGTAAAAAAAAAGGGTTTTGGTTGTACGTGATGTTACAGAACCTTACTCACGGATCTAAGGACAGAATCATGGGAAAGAGAGAGGTTTTAGTGGATTAAATTAAAGGGGGGACAAGAAAGAGAAAAAGATTTAAAGGGGGGAGGTATGGGAGAATAGTGTATAATTTGAGCATAGTGTAAAATGGAGTATATACGAAGTGTTACATAAAATAATCAAGGGATGCACATGGAAACGGATCTTTCCAACATGGGGGTAGGCAAAGCACGCTATATTAAGGACTTTGCTTGGACACCAACAAATGCGATTGCCTTCTTCTAATCATCCTCCCATCTTCTGTGGTCTTTTGCTACCATTAATTCTTATTAGTCCCTATCTGTACTACACTAGTACAAGTGTTTGTACAATTGTGTAAGGACGTTATTGTGCGTTATGCATATTACATAATCTCGTGTGGATATTGTTTACCGGATTATTATTGTTGTATTTTGGAGATGGGGCTTATAAGCTCATACTACCTCTATTTTGCTAAGTCTTACGGAGTACTTAATTACTACAACTACATAAACTAAAGAATGGACTATACATGTGGACACTTTTGTTTTAAAGAAGAAAGAGATAAATAAAATTAGGTTCCATATAGTAGGGTTGCGGATTATAAAAAAAAAATAGAATAAAAAGTTGTCATAATGAAATAAAGTAAAAGTGAGTAGAACGTAGAAAAACAAATGAAACGAAAAGTAATTAAGCAAGTCTTAGGAAAACAAAGGTAGCGTAGTGCCGTAGTAGCTTATTGCTACATGTATATTACTTTTTTTTTTGTTGAAATTGTGTTTTGATACATTTTGTTTTTATTTTATAAAACAACGATTACTTATCTTATCATTCAAATGAGATCTAAAAATGAATTATAATGTAATACCATAAATGTAAAACAATGCACTTGTAATTTATTTTATACTCCTATTTATTACACAGTAGTAATTAATAAAACACGTATAGAATAGTATTTCCTTCTAATATTACGCCCGAAAAATAGTCTCAAGAGACACAACAATTGTCTATGTACAGTACTTTTTTTATACTTATTTTCTTCTTAAGAATCATAACATAGGTGAATCACCTCCCAAATAAAAATCTAGTTTTGAATTGGTAAACCATCATTTGGTTTTAGAGCATTAGCATCAAGATTTAAATCTAATTTTGTATGCAGTAGTTTCCACAATAACAAGATAGAGTTATATTTTTAAAACACGAACTTAAACAATATAAAGCTTATTTGGAGCTTTTGACTTAATTAGGTGAACAACATGACTTTTGTTTTAGATTGTTTTAGAATAAACTTGTTTTATCTTAATTACTTGATTCATTTAATTACATTTCTTAAATGTCTTATTTAAACTTTTTTTTTAACAATTATTTTTTACCTCAAAATTGATATTTTATAGTAGTATTTCACACCTAGAAGTATACGAAATACTATACTGGATTATAATTGGAACAAAACATATCAACTTTTTTTTTTTTTTGGGTGTTTAGAGAGTCACAAAGACGGGGGTGAGAATCGATCCCAGGATCTCCTGGAATCAGGAGGGAAGCTCTAACCACTTGAGCTATTTATCACTCTCACATATCAACTTTTGTTCACCTACTTCCCCCCATCATCTCTCTCAAATTTTGAAAAAGTATTTAACCATTCTCATGGAGCAAGAAATTGAAATGCTATTAAAAAATAAGCTTAACCTTACTTGTACTATAACGATCCTTTCAAGGTTTTTTACTATGTTTTTGAAATCTTGCTAAACAAATCTAAATTGTCAACACTCTTATGTCCCTTGATCGTTTTAATGTCCTCCCTTTTCCAATGTCGAACTTCAAATTATGAATACAATTATAATTCTTTTGTGCAAAAATGTCAATATTCTACAACCCTATTGCTTACATGAACACCCATTTCTGGCCTTGCACATGTTTTAAATCGCCAACTATAATTCTAGGAGCGCAAACTTTACCAATAGATCGAGGTTAATACTTGTTTATTATTGATAATTAAAGATATTATTACTCGTAGACATTAGGGGTGCTTATCGAGTGAGTTGATCACGAGCTGAAGGGTGCTTGACTCAACTCAGAAACTTTTTACACGTGCTCAACTCGTGCTCGCTAAAGTGTCGAGCAAATAAAACCTGCTCGACTCGTACTCGTTAAAGTTTCGAGTCGAGTCGAGTAGCTCACAATTTGCTCGTTAAAGTTTCGAGTGAGTCGATCACGAGCTGAAGGGTGCTTGACTCAACTCAGAAACTTTTTACACGTGCTCAACTCGTGCTCGCTAAAGTGTCGAACAAATAAAACCTGCTCGACTCGTGCTCGTTAAAGTTTCGAGTCGAGTCGAGTAGCTCACAATTTGCTCGTTAAAATTTTGGTCCTTCTATTATTATATGCCTTTATTTATTTTTTGTTCAATTTATATTGTTTTCCTTATTATATATAGATATTATTAAAAATTTACTCTTTCTTTTCTTATGATATAAATTAAGGCTAAATAAGTGTCAAATTTGTGTAAAGATAGTAACTTTGTTTGCAAATTCTATATTATTAATATATTACCGAATTGCTCACGAGCTTATCGAGTCGAGTTAAAACTTGCACAACTCGTGCTCGTTAACATCTCGAGTCAAGTCGAATTCAAGTCGAGCTAACTCGAGTCGAGTTTTGACCGAGCATTGACTGAGTCGAGTACGAGTTGCTCGCGAGCTGCTCAACTCAATTAGCACCCTACTCGTAGTCAATTTGACGGTTGATATACGTGTCATTAATCTTCCTCCTATGTCTTCATTTTTTCCCACTTTTTTCGCGCACTTCTCCCTCTTTTCTTCATTGAAGCGTATTCTGAGTTCTCCATTGAATCTGCGTCTGAGCTTTCTCTTCTCATTCGAAGCAGTTTCTGAGGTAAGATGTTTGTTCTGCCTTTTTCTGTTTTTATGGAATATCAATTTCACAATCTAGGGTTTAATTTCGCAATATTGTTAATATAAAATTGTTAGCATAGTCTAATTAGGGTTCTTGTAAGCTAAATTATTGAATTATTGGTTATAATTACTGAAATTATGAATCTTTATATTTGCAATTTACAATTTACGTTAAGATACTCTAAGGTAGGAATTTTACGTGATTATAAGTGCCCAATTTGATGATTCAGTAATATAAAATTGCTAATGTGTTGCAGATTTTGTTTATAACCCTTCAATGTTAGGATGGAACTATGAAAATTGACATTATGCCCCCTCTGCCTGGCGGCCTATTTGAGAAATTTAGTTAATTGTGATTCTATGTCAATAAGTATTAAGTACTAGTAGTAGACTACATTGACTAAATTACGCCGGCGTAATTAGTATCAGGTGCTCTGAATCATATTGAAGAGGGTAGATGTTTGTATGGGGACTAATTGGCTCAGGGTCGGGCGTATTTGAGAGAATGTAGTTGATTATGATGCTATTTCAATTGGTTACCAATAGAAGTAATAGTTGTGGAATGTGGATTATGCAGGCTAATTGTAATTAGTATCAGGTGTTCATAATTGTGAGGAATACAGTAGATGATCATATCAGGATAAGTTGGCTCAGGAACAGGCCTGAACTTCTCTAATTCTCGCCTTTTATTTTCAGCAGGATGGTAACTGGGAATTCTCAGGAAGACGGGGAGAAGAACCCTAAAGGAGCTACCAGGTCATGGGGGCCTGCTGTCTCAGGACAGTCAGTATCAACTAGTGGCAGTGTGGGCTCACCATCGAGCCGGAGCGAAGCTGGAATGGCAACACCAGCTCGTGACAGTACTGTTCTTAGACTAAGTCACCTTGAGATTCATGGTGATGATTCTGTCTCTCAGGGTGCTGTTGTGTAAGTCTTGTATCTTCCATTTTAAGTTGCTTTATGGCTTTTGTGATGCTTAGAAGGTTCCTTTTTATTTGTTGGTTTATTGTGTGTATCCTTTCTAGTCTTTTGAGTCATGAATGGGTTTATTGCCAAATTTGCTTGTCTTGGTGAAGTTTCTGCATTTCTGCTGCTACTATGCCTTGTTTCATTCACCAGAATCTTTTTCCATCTCTAAATATTACATTCTATTAACCTCTAATTAGGAGTAAGAAGAAAAAAAGAGGTCAACGTGCAGCTGGAACTGACAAAAGTGGTCGCGGACTTCGACAATTCAGTATGAAAGGTAAACAGCATATCTCCATTGATGAAAGTTTCCTAGAAAATCATATTCTACTCCACTATGTATTTAGTACAAATTCCTGACTTGGGACGTTTCTATTGTCTGTGTACATGACTATATTATCTGTCAAAATTACTAGTTTGTGAAAAAGTGGAGAGCAAAGGAAGGACAACATACAATGAGGTCAGCTGCTTTGTTGGATGCCACTCATCTTTGCAATTTCTTTTTTCTTTGAACATCTTTATTTCTACTTGGGATTATTTCTGATGGTTTCCTTTTTACAACTTAGTAATGGAGTGCCTTTTATATCTATCTTTCCAAATCATGTTCAACAAAAAACATGCCCTTCGTAGGCGTTACAATACCATAATTTTACATTTTTACTACATCCGTATACTAGTGAATATGTGTTAGCACTGTAGGAGGTGGTGGCTCGGTTTAGAAAATCTTGTTTATGAAATGGCTTAGCTTTTCTGCAAACTTCAGAACTTTTAGTTTATTTTTTTTGAATATGTTACTAGGCAAGAGGATATCATGGCATTAAGTTTATATGTCTTTGCATACTAGACGAGGGCTTAAAGCCCCTGTTATACTAATTGATGTAGGATCTGACAGAAATTTTAGTGACTTAGTGAGTGATCTTGTTGAAATCTAGAGATCCTAATAGTAGTTATAGAAGCCTAAACAGGTTGAGGTAGAAACGGACAGAAGTGATGGAGAAGGAAGGATTGATGTCTAACACAAAGATTATTGTAAATTTTTTTCAAAGGAAAAGAATCTATGCAGACAATGCAGGCCTCTATACAGAGCTGAAAGTAGAAATATTGAGCATGTTCCCAACATTAATAACACCGATTAACACTGGATTTTTTCATGCATTATACCATTTGGAAAATTTATTCATGTATTATACTCGGTTTTAATTGGTATTGCAAGTGTTTGACATTGCAAAAGCTACAAAGTGCTTTGTATATATCCCTTGCGGCCTTACCCTTGAGAACTTGTTAGTTTTGTTATTGTTATATTACCTTTCCCACCTTTTCTGTTGTGTCTTGTATGTTTCTGTATAGATGCAAGTTTTTACTA